ACACATGCACACACACACTAGTTTAAACAAAAATGAAATTTTGATTTATTGATGTGGTTTTGGGGGACCACACCCAGGGACTGTTCTTGGTTCATTGCTTAAGGAGTCACTCCTCACTCTCGAGACCAGATGGTTCTAGGGATCAAAGTCAGAGCTCCCACATGCTAATCCCCAGGCGTTTCCCAGGCCTAAAAGCTCAGTTTTGTGGTTTTTTTTTTGGCGGGGGGGGGGGGGTGTTGAGTCACACTTTGTGGTGCTCAGGTGTCACTCCTGCTCTGCAATCAGTAATCACTCCTGGCAGTGCTCAGAGAACCATGTAGGAATTCTGGAAATTGAACCTGGATCAGCCTTGTGTGAGGCAAGGGCTCTGCCTATACTATATCTCAGGTCCCAGTTTTGTTTGTTGGGGGGGGGGGGGGTTGTTGTTTTTTTTCTTTTCCTTTTCCCCCCCTTTTTAATAATTTCATTTATTGAATCACCGTGTGAGCAGTTACAAAGCTTTCGGGTTTAAGTCTCGGTCATACAATGAAACACCTGTCCCTTCACCAGTGCCCATTTTCCACCACCAAATACCCCAGTATATTCCCTCATGCCACACCCTCCCCATAGCTGTGGGACAATGATTTCCACATTACTCTCTCTCTACTTTGATTATGTTCACTATTTCGACACCAGACCCACCATTTTTTTTTTTTTGGCTTTTTGGGTAGCACCTGGTGATGCCCAAGGGTTACTCCTGGCTCTGCATTCAGGAATTACCCCTGGCAGTGCTCAGGGGACCATATGGGATGCGGGGAATTGAACCCGGGTTGGCCGTGTGCAAGGCAAATGCCCTACCCGCTGTGCTATTGCTCCAGCCCCTGGACCCACCATTATTATTTGGGATTTAACCCCAACACTCAGATCTGCCGAAAAGACAACAGTAGACAATTTGTTTTCTATTGCTGGTTATGAATAACATATTGTGTAAACTCAAAAAGAGCACAGCAGCAGCAGTGGTCTATCTGTCCCGCCGCCAGCGTTCGCTTCCCCCACCCCGGGGAGGTCGGTGGCGATGGGCAGGCAAAAGATGGAAACGAGGGCCAGGCTGGTTGGTCTTAGTTGAAGTTTATTCCAATCCTCTCTCCATTCATTCCTGTCTCTCTCTCCTCTGCCACCTCCTGCCCATTCTTACAGTCTCATTATATCCCACAGCATGAGGGATTGGGGTAACAATTACACATAGGTGCAATCACAATCAATAGGGGTAGAATTCTTTCCCTTGGGGACATCCGCTCCCAGAACAGATTCTCATTATCAGATCAATCCACCCTAGAGCGAATTCCTGTGGGTGTGTTTCTCCTCTCTTTGTCTAACAAACATATAAGCATATATAATATCAATCATTTTGTATGGATACAGTAAGAAATACCTTAAACTTATAGAATTGCCCTCCTAGGGCCATCTTGATCTCAGACTACAATGCTCAGGCCAGACAGTCTTTCCTATCCCTAGCAGGGTCCTAGTCTCATCGTTACTTTTGAATCATGACAGCATTTGTCTATGATCAAACTCTTAACTTATAGTTAAGAATCGTGGCACTTTGGCCTGGCCCATTTCGATGCCAGGGTAGCTCACCGCTTGCCCTGGGTCCATTCAGTTCCTCGTCAGGACCCTGCTTCTGGGGTGTTAGGAACCAAGGGCAACTGAGGCTTAAGTCAAGAAAGCAGATGCCCGGGAGTGAATAATATTCAGAGCCAATTAAATCCTAAGTTACAAAGCATAATATTAACGGTCTTCCTGTATCTATACAAAAAGGGCATTGCTTTAAAGTAAACTGTTCATAAGACATAAGGAGAGGAGAAAGACAATATTTCACTCATGCATATAAAATCACAGATTTCTGAGGAATCTGACCTTACAAGTTAAGAGTCTGATTAGGGTAAAAACTGATTAACTGGTTGGGGAAGAGAGCATAGAGAAGTGGTTACAGATAAATGAAGGGATTGGGAGTGACTTGGAAGCACTGTGATGGGTGTAACCTGATAAACCTAAGTTCCTTGTGGAGAAAGGGAGAAAGAACAGAGCAATGTCATCCTACACATATGATGTCACACGGCTGCAGTAGTGGCCGCGCAATTTTGGAATTCTGAAATTTTAACAATTAAATATGGAGAGATTTCTGCCAAAACCTGCTGTGTTCCAAGATTTGTTCATGAGTCTCTTGGATCACAGCCATTAAGCAGCTTGATCAGGAGCTAGAGAGGCCATTCGTGGGTGGCCACTCAGGATCTCTTTGGGGCGGCAGGAAAGGGCCGGCTCCACCCCTTATCCCGTGAGGCCCTGCATGTCTCGTCACTGCGGGCCCAAACCTGACCGGCCAATGATCTCTGGAGGATGGTAGCCACCAAGCTGCCAAGGGGGAGCAGGTGGAGGGCCAACACCCTTTCCGCCCTGGGTGGCCTAGTGACAGTAACCTACTGTGGGGACCGGATACATTTTTGCCAAAAGCTACTGGGTCTGAGATTTGTTTCTGAGTCTCTGGGATCATAGCCATTAAGCAGCTTGATCAGGAGCCAGAGAGGGCGGTTGTGGGCAGCGAATCAGGGGTCTTGTTGGGGCGGGGAGGAAAGGGCGGGCTCCACCCCCATCCCATGAGGCCCTATGTGTCTCGACACTGCGGTCCCAAACCTAACTGTCCAATGACCTCTGGAAGACGTGGCCCCTGAGCCTCCAAGGGGGAGCAGGTGGAGGGACAACTCCCTTTACCCCCTGGGGTGATCTGGCGCCAGTAACCCATTGCGGAGTCCGGACGCATCTCTGCCAAAAACCGCTGGGTTCCGAGATTTGTCTCTGAGTCTCTGGGATCATGGCTGTTCAGCAGTTTGATCAGGAACCAAAGGGCCTTGCCTCCAATTGTAAAGCTGAGCTGGACGTGGTCTATGGGTGTGTCTCCCACAAACCTAACTTTTGGCCATTTACTTTCTTGGTAAACTTTGTCCTAAGTTTTTGGGTTCTGGCCAAAGGCACAGCTGCAATTTGGGAGTATCTGGAAATCTGAAGGCACCATCAGGCTGCTGATGCACTGGCATCACAGGTACAGATTGACCTGCTGGCAGCACCAACCCCTTGTTGTTGTTTTTAAATCATGGACGCTAGTACTGTAAAATTTAAAGTTTAGAATTTGGGCTGGAGTGATAGCACAGCGGGTAGGGCGTCTGCCTTGCACGCAGCCAACATGGCCGACCCGAGTTCGATTCCTCCGCCCCTCTCGGAGAGCCCGGCAAGCTACCGAGAGTATTCGATATGCCAGACACAGTAACAACAAAGTCTCCAATGGAGACGTTACTGGGCCCGCTCGAGCAAATCGACGATCAACGGGAGGGCCTTTACTTTACTTTTTACTAGAATTTGGAGTCAGGGGCCAGAGCAGTGGGTTTGCACAAGGGTTTGTCAAGGTTTGATCTTCAGCATTCCATATGGTTCCCCAGTACCCTTCCGGAGAACCCAGAGCCAGGCCTAAGCCCTGAGCACCACCAAGTGTGATCCAAAAATAAACAAAAAACAACCCAATAAAAAAATTTGTAGTCAAGACTTGGATCCACTTGTCAGTTCTTAATGGAGGGTGGGGGTAGGAATGGAGGGAGTGGGGTCTGGAGCTATAGTACAGCCGGCAGGGCTCTTGCCTTGCACACAGCTGACCCGGGTTTAATCATCCTATATGGTCCCCCGAGCACTGCCAGGAATAATTCCTGAGTGCATAGCCAGGAGTAACCCCTGAGTGTTGCCGGGTGTGGCCCAAAACAAACAAGTAAAGTAAGTAAAGGCCCTCCCGTTGATCGTCGATTTGCTCGAGCGGGCCCAGTAACGTCTCCATTGGAGACTTTATTGTTACTGTGTCTGGCATATTGAATACATCACGGGGAGCTTGCCAGGCCCTGCCGTGCAGGCGAGATACTCTCGGTAGCTTGCCAGGCTCTCTGAGAGGGGCGGAGGAATCGAACCCAGGTCGGCCATGTTGGCTGCGTGCAAGGCAAACGCCCTACCGCTGTGCTATCGCTCTAGCCCAGCGGGTAGGGCGTTCGCCTTACAAGCGGCCAACATAGCAGACCCGAGTTCGATTCCTCCGCCCCTCTCGGAGAGCCCGGCAAGCTACCGAGAGTATTCGATATGCCAGACACAGTAACAACAAAGTCTCCAATGGAGACGTTACTGGGCCCGCTGGAGCAAATCGACGATCAACGGGAGAGCTTTACCTCGAGCAAAACAAACAAATGAAAAAAAAAAAAAGAAAAAGAAGAAAGCAAGGTGCAGAGCGATAGTAACGCTGGCAGGGTGTTTGCCTTGTACGTTGCGGTACCAAGTTCGATTCCCCTGAGCACACACGGTCCCCTGAACCCCGCCGGGAGTAATCCGTGAGCACTGCCAGGTGTGGCCCATAACACTAAAAGACAAAAGGAAAAGAACGAGGATGGAAGAGGGAGAAGAAAGGAAGAAGCGTCAAAGGAAGACATCTGAGCAGCGCTGAGTAGATACTGTGCATAGTTTTTGTGTGTTTGTTTTCATGACTTGAGCCCTCCCCTTCCCCTTCCCAGGGTGTCGAAATTCCGGTGCCACCCCTCGCTCTAAGCCCTGCAGATTCGCAAAAGCTACTGACTCTCGGTTCCCCCACGGAGCAAAGGTTTCTCAGAAGTCAGCTGAGCCCACGCCCGGCTATTCCGTGAATTGCACTCCTCCCTCCCTCTGCAGAGTGGGTGGGCCTTACTAGAACTTCCTGGCCAATCGCTGAGACGGGAGACGTGGCTTCGGCCCCACTGATCCCACCCCTCGAGGTAGGCGGAGCCGGCGTCTCACCAATGGGCTGCATCGCCGGGGGAGGAGCCCAATTTATCGGCCGGCGGGGATTGGGTGCCCGGCCGGGACCGGCGCGCTCCGTGGCTGCGACGGCGCGCTCCAGCGAAGGGGCGTGTCTGGGGCGTGTCTGGGGGCGGGGCGGGGCGGGGCGAAGCCGAGGTTGCGGCGGGAGGCTGGGTGCTCCGTGCTCCCTTCTGGATCCCGGAAGCCTACACCTGAGCCTCAGGAGACCGAGGGAACTGGGATTCTAACCAGGTACGCACCCCATCCCGGGAGAGGGTGCGTGGGGGTGGCGGTGCAGGTGGGCGTGCATTTCGGGTCGAGTCGGCGAGTTCCGAGATCCGCTCCCGGAGTGTCAACCACTTTCCCCAGGTAAAAATAGGAGATGTCACCTGCTGCTTCCTGGAACTCCTCCTCCCTAGCTCCCCGTGGCCAACAAAACTTGGAATTGCCACCTTGGTTCAGTGTCTTATGCATTTATTCTCTCGTCTGTTAGTTTTGGTCTTCACCAAAAATTTCCAAGGGTAGACCAGATTTGTCTTCCTTTATTTGGTTTGTTAAAGTGCATCAGCTATGGGGCTGGGAGATGGCTCCGAGGTTGCAGCCTTTGCGTGCGTGAACCCGTGCATCCGTGAGCCCGTGCGTGCGTGCGAGGGAGCAGAACCAGCACAGAGGCCAAAGTAGCCTCTGAGCGCCAAAGGTGTGGCCCAAAAGCAAAACATGAAATTTTAGTAAGGTACAGACAGGAGAAACGGTTTGCATGACATTACGCATAAAAACAAATTTATTTCAGAAAAACTTGTGGAGCACAAAATTTAGGCCTAAGAGAGTGTGGCAAATAAGAAAAACTATGTCACAACCTTTAAAAATAAACGAGGGGAACAGACAGGTTTTTTTTTCCTATTTGGGTCACACCCAGCGATGCACAGGGGTCACTCCTGGCTCATGCACTCAGGAATTACTCCTGGCGGTGCTAGGGGGACCATATGGGATGCTGGGAATCAAACCCAGGTCAACCGCGTGCTGTGCTATCGCTCCAGCCCCAGACAGTACAGTTTTTAAGGTACTTTCCTTGCATGCAACCAGCCTGGGTTCAATGTCCTAAACTGCATATAGCCTCTGAGTACTGCTAAAACCTAAAACCCCAAAAACAACTGTCAGTCTTTGGGGGGGCGAAGCAGGATGGGGAGCATATTAGACGATACACGGGGATTACTCCTGGCTCTGCACTCAGGAATTACCCCTGGTGGTGCTTAGGACGCCATATAGGATGCTGTATAGGATCAAAGCCAGTTGGTTGCGTGCAAGGCAAGCACCCTACCCACTGCACTATGGCACTGGCCCCAGAAGTGTCAATCTTAGGGACTGAATGACTTCTTTCATCGAGTTTCTACATCTCCTTCAGAGAGAGCAGATTAAAGAATATATCTTATCTCCAAGAATGTTTCAGCTCCTATTAAACTCTGGGGCCAACAAGGATTGTTCTGAAACACTTGTGGCCAACACTGATCATTACATGCTTCAGATATGGCCGCAGATATGGCCCCAGATATGATATAGCATATGTCTTGCACATACAACAAACATTCTGATTGCTGATCCCCATTGCCAGTGGGTGTGGCCCTGCTAGCTCCTATGCACCACTGGGAGAGACCCTAAGTACCATGCTCTGCCTGATGTGGCTCTACAAAAAAAAAACAGCAGGGGGGCTGGAGCGATAGCACAGCGGGTAGGGCATTTGCCTTGCACGCAGCCAACATGGCCGACACTAGTTTGATTCCCAGCATCCCATATGGTCCCCGAGCACCGCCAGGAGTGAGTCCCGAGTGCATGAGCCAGGAGTAACCCCTGAGCATCGCCGGGTGTGACCCAAAAAAAAATCAAAAAAAAATCATTATTTATAATAATAAATTACAACCAGAAGGGCCTGAGACATAGTACAAGGATTAAGACACTTGCCTTATAAGCAGCCAACCCTCATTCACTCCCCAGTACCACGTAATGGTCCCTGAGCATCACTGGGAGTGACTCCTGAGCATAGAGCTAGGAATGGCCCTACCAACCACCACGTGTGCCCCCCCCCAAACCAACCAGTCAGCCAACTAAAACAAAAAGTAGTCAGAAAACTGGATGATTTAGTTTAGTCCAGTGAAAATTCTAATCAAGGGCCTAGGGCGATAGTACAGAGGGTGCTAGGGTACTAGCCTTACATGTGGCCAACCTGGGTTTGATCCCTGGCATTCCATATGGTCCCCCGACCACTGCCAGGAGTGATTCCTGAGTGCAGAGCCATGAGTAAGCCCTAAGCATCGCTGGTGTGAACCAAAAAAATGAGTAAGCCCTAAGCATCGTTTAGGCTTATTTTCTTAAAAAGAAAGAAAGAAAGAAAGAAAGAAAGAAAGAAAGAAAGAAAGAAAGTTCTAATTGATTAATCGATTCATCTTTCATCCTTCAGGTTCAGACCCAGAATCCAAAATGGCACAATGGGAGATGCTGCAGAACCTCGACAGCCCATTTAAGGATGAGCTGCACATGCTCTATACAGACAGCCTCCTGCCAATGGTAGTTCGAAAGCACTTGGCTGTCTGGATTGAAGACCAGAACTGGTGAGGCCTTTAAGAAGCTGTGCGGTGACCGATATCATTTCTTTATTCTGTTTGTTTTTTGTTTATTTTGTTTGATTTGGATTTTTTGTTTTGTTTTTCTGGGACGGGGGACACTCGCCATTGGTCATTGGTTACTCCTGGCTCTGTGCACAGGAATTACTCCTGGTGGGCTCAGGGGACTGTGTAGGATACCAGGGATTGAACCAGGGTCAGCTGCATGCAAGGCAAACTCTCTACCCACTTTACTATGACTCCAGCCTCAACTAATGTCATTTCTTTCTCCAGGGATCCCAGGATCTTGGTGACAACAAAGGCAGGATGGTATTGGAGAGACCAGAGCAGAGACACTAACCCTTGTCATTTCTGGTACCCAGGGATCAAGCTGCACTGGACAGAGACGAGGCCAAGGCTAACATGCTCTTCTTTCACTTCCTGGAACAACTGGCCAATGAGATGGGCAGCTGCAGCGTGGACTCTCAGTGCATGTTGCTAAAGCACAACTTGCGAAAAGTGCATCGGGAAATCCAGGTGCTGGGAGGAGCCCAGGAGAACAGAGTGGAAATAAGAACTGAGTGAAGTTGGGGGCTGGAGCACTAGCACAGCGGGTAGGGCGTTCACCTTGGACGCGGCCAACCGGGTTCGATTCCCAGCATCCCATATGGTCCCCTGAGCACCGCCAGGAGTGACTCCTGAGTGCAGAGCCAGGAGTGACCCCTGTGCATCGCCAGGAGTGACCCAAAAAGCAAAAAAAAAAAAAAGCTGAGTGAAGAGGGGGGATAGTGTAAGGTATGCTGCGGTGGGACCTTGGGGACAGAAGGATGGGGACAGAGCTGGGGAGCAGAGGACAGAGTGGAACTTGAGGGACCACTGGCAAAGGACAGAGTCTAGAGGACACTGCTGAGAGGCGCCTCGGTCTGAGGGAACCAGTGGGGACAGGAGATGGACTAGAGGTCCTCTGGGGACAGGGGGAGGGGAGTCAGTGGGAGGGAGTGTCTGGGGTGATAGTTTTGAAGCAGCTGAACTGTATCAACCTTTTCTCTTTCTCTCCCCAGGCTTTGCCCAACGCCAATATCCAGCTGGCTGAAATGATATTTAATCTCCTTCGGGAAGAAAAACGAATTTTGATCCAGGCTCAGATGGCTCAGTCGGTAAGAATAATTCAGAGGAGGCAACGCTGGAGTAGGGAGAAACCATACAAAAGACTCAGGGGATTTGTGTCTGGACAAGATCCCCCGCCATCCTGTGATATAAATTCCTAGCCTGGATTTCAGGAATAAAAGCTCAGAGTTGAAATGTTCTGAGAGCTTTTCATTTCAGACGCAAGAAGAGCCAGTCCCCGAAGCCCCTGTGGAGAGAAGGCAGCATGAAATCGAATCCCGGACATTGGAATTAAGGACCATGATGAAGGTTGGTTGATGTGGTAAGAGTCAGGTTGGCTAGGGCTCAGCCCAACTCCTCCCTCCGAAGTCGCCTTCATCTGGGTTTCTTCCCTTCTACAGGACCTGGATAGAGCCATGGTAGACTTGAATACCCTGCAGAGTACCTTCTTCTTCCGCTATAAGAACCACATGCAAGGTAAGAAGCACATGCGGGGTGGGAGAAATACAGATGTCTTCCAGAAGCAGTGACTACCCTGGACCCCTCCCCAGTCCTGGCATGCAAACTTGGAAGTGCCCAGTACGTTGTGGGATTCGTGCTGCGGGTATGGCTGAGAGACAGCTGGTGTGTATTAGTGGAAATCCAGGGAAAGTTGCCTTGGAAGGTCCACTTAGGACCATTCAGAATTCCCTCCAGGACCTAGAAGTGCCTGTGCTTTCCTTCATTTCCCCTTCATTTTCCTTCAGAATTTCTTCCTTTGGGACCAGAACAAGTATGGCTCTTGCCTTGTATGCAGCTCCCCAACTCCCTCTGTGGTCCCCCAAGCTTGCCAGGAGTGATCCCTGAATGTAGAGTCAGGAGTAACCCCTGAGCACTGCTGGGGGTGCCCCCTCCCTAACACTCCCCCCTCAAAAAAAAATAATTCTCAACAGACTGAGCTCAGGTTTAAGGGCCCTTATTTTGTGGTTCCCCAAGCACCTCCAGAGTGATACCCAAGCACAGGGCTAGCATCCCCATTCCTCCACAAATACTGCCAGATGTGGCCCCAAATCAGAAAAAAAAAATTCCTGAGCGAGAGAAATAGTACGAAGGTCAAAGCACTCACCTTGCAGTGCTTCAAATCCCATCACCACACAGGGTCCTCGGGCACCACCTGCTGTGGTTGATGAGTCCAGAGCCAGGTGTGGCCCCTGCTGGTTGTGCCCTCCTGAAAAAAAATTTTTAATTAAAAAAAAATTTTCCCTCTTCTGGGTGAGGAAGGAGAGAAGAAAGAGCTCAGGTCAGGGCCAAAGTGATCCCCAGCACCCCATAGGGTCCCCCCAAGCACCACCAGGAATGATTCCTGAGTACAGAGACAGGAACAACCCTTAAGCATCACTGGGTATGCCCTCCCCCCCGCCAAAAAATGGAGCCTGAGGTCTGAGTACCTGTCTGCCTCCCTCTCCCCATCCAGTAAAGAAGTCCTTCCTGAACTCCGAGCATGAGATGCTGCGTGAGATGCTGCAGCAAACTGCCAATGCACTGGACAGAACTAGAAAGGTGGGAAGCAGAAGAAGAGGGGAGAGGGCAGCGGGTGGGGGTGGGTGAGGCAACCGGGATATTGGCCTTTCACCCAGACGTCTTTGTCTCTCCGCTGGCAGTCGGAGAGTGGATGGTGGTGATGAGAGGTGCTCGGGGCTTATTTGAAGTCTTCCCTAGGAGGTGCTGGATGCCTTCAAAGCACTGCAGGGTCGGTTAACTACCCTAGTTGACCTACTGCTGTCCAAGCTGGAGGAGTGGAAAGTCCAGCAGCAGAAAGCCTGCATTGGAGCCCCACTGCACTGTGACTTGGGACAGCTGGAGCAGTGGTGAGAGGCACCCCCTCCCCACACCCATTCCCACCCAGGCCCTCATCCTAACCATCCCCACACTCTGGGCCTTGGCCCAGAGTGATAAGTATAAGTATGGTGATAAGTATTCTCACCCTCATCTCTGCTCCCCAATATCACCCCCACACCCTTTATCTGACTGCAGCTACATACTGTTCTTCATTTGTTGTTACTGTTGGTGTTTTGGGGGTTTTGTTGTTATTGTTTTGTTGAAGGGGGGGGCGGTTGGGGCCACGCCTGGCAATGCTCAAGGATTATTTCTGGCTCTGCACTCAGGAAGGATTATTTCTTGGCTCTGCACTCAGGAATCACTCCTGGAGATGCTTAGGGAATTATGAGGGATATGGAAATTGAACCTAGGTTGGCCACAAGCAAGGCAAGTGTCCTATCCACTGTATTATCTCTCCAGCCCTACTGTTGGTTCTTTTTTTGTTTTGTGCTGTCAAGACCTCACACATTGGTAGGGTGCCCTACCAATATAGGGTGTCAGGATCAAACTCGGGTCTACTTCTTGCAAGTACCTTACTGTACTATCTCTCCAACCCCAATATAAAGGTAAAGGTAAAGGTAAAGGCCCTCCCGTTGATCGTCGATTTGCTCGAGCGGGCCCAGTAATGTCTCCATTGGAGACTTTGTTGTTACTGTGTTTGGCATATTGAATACTCTCGGTAGCTTGCCGGGCTCTCCGAGAGGGGCGGAGGAATCGAACTCGGGTCGGCCATGTTGGCCGCTTGTAAGGCGAACGCCCTACCGCTGTGCTATCCCTCCAGCCCCAATATAAGTAAAAGTAAAAGTAAAGGCCCTCCCGTTGATCATCGATTTGCTCGAGAGGGCCCAGTAACGTCTCCATTGGAGACTTTGTTGTTACTGTGTCTGGCATATCGAATACTCTCGGTAGCTTGCCGGGCTCTCCGAGAGGGGCGGAGGAATCGAACTCGGGTTGGCCATGTTGGCTGCGTGCAAGGCAGACGCCCTACCCGCTGTGCTATCGCTCCAGCCCCCAGCCCCAATATAGGCTCTACTTTTGAGCCATATCCCTGGTATACAGTTTAAGCTACTTAAAACACATTACAACTCTTCAGATAAGTTAAAAGTAAGTGTATAGTGTTTAAGGTAGAAAAATAAGTATTTTTGTTGATTTGAGCTTAAGATAAACACCCAGCAGTGCTAAGGGACTGCTCTCAGTTTGGTACTTGGGGGACCATGCAGTGCTGGGAATCGATCTCCAGCCTCTGCATGCAAAGTATGCACTCAGTTGGCTGAATTACTTGTCCAGCACCACCTTTTTTTTTTTTTTTTGCTTTTTGGGTCACACACGGCGATGCTCAGGGGTTACTCCTGGCTCATGCACTCAGGAATTGCTCCTGGCGGTGCTCGGGGGACCATATGGGATGCTGGGAATCGAACCTGTGTCAGCCATGTTGGCTGTGTGCAAGGCAAATGCCCTACCCGCTGTGCTATCGCTCCAGCCCCTCATCACCGTATTTAAATGGTATTTTTTTTTAATGTAGGAGTACTGCTATCAACAAAATGATTCCTTTTTTTTTCATTTTTTATAATTTTATTTATTGAATCACAGTGAGAGCAGTTACAAAGCTTTCGGGTTTAAGTCTCGGTCATACAATGAAACACCCGTACCTTCACCAGTGCTCATTCTCCACCCCCAACAACCCCAGTATACCCCCATCCCACACCCTCCCCCTACCCGTGGGGCAGATGATTTCCACATTACTCTCTCTCTCTACTTTGATCACAGTCTATATTTTGACACCAGATCCACCATTATTATTTGTGATTTTACCCCAACACTCAGATCTGCTGAAAAGGCAACAGTAGACAATTTCTTTTCTATTGCTGGTTATGAATAACACATGATGTCGCGTGGCTGTAGTAGTGGCCACGCGATTTTGAAATTCTGAAATTTTAACACTTAAATCTGGAGGGATTTCTGCCAAAACCTGCTGGGTTCCGAGATTTGTTCCTGAGTCTCTGGGATCATGGCCATTAAGCAACTTGATCAGGAGCCAGAGAGGCCATTTGTGGGCGGTAACTCGGGGTCTCGTTGGGACAGGGAGGAAAGGGCCAGCTCCATCCCCATGCCATAAGGCCCTGTGTGTCTTGTCACTGAGGCCCAAACCTGACTGCCCAATGGTCTCTGGAGGATGGCAGTAAATGGTAGTTTTAAGCATACCTGTTAACTGGTACGGGGGTGTTGGCAAACTGAGAGTGATTTTTTGCTAAACATCACTGCAGTATATAACCTCCTAGTTACGTCATTGCTTATATCCTGAATTATTTCTGTAACATAAATTCACAGAAATATTTATTATGGGGGCAGAAAGATAGTATGGGTTCGATCCTTGACATCCCATATAGTCCCTCAAGCACCGCCGGCAGTAATTACTGAGTGCAGAGCCAGGAGTAACCCATGAGCATCACCAGTTGAGGCCTGAAAAATGTTGTTGAAATGTATTTCCTTTGGGGGGGGTCTGAGCAGTATTACAGTGGATAGGGAATTTCCTTTGCATGCAACCGATCTAGGTGCTATCCCTGGCACATTATTGTCCCAAAGTGCCACCAGGAGTGATCCTTGAGCACAGTGCCAGGAGTAAGCCCTAAGAATCACTGGATGTGACTCCCCTCAAGAAAGTTTTTCTTGGCTGGAGACATAGCATAGCGGGTAGAGCGTTGCACGCGGCCAACCTGGGTTCGATTCCCAGCATCCCATATGGTCCCCAGAGCACCGCCAGGAGTAATTCCTGAGTATTGCCAGGTGTGACCCAAAAAGAAAAAAAAAAGTTTTTCTTTCTGTTGGATGTTTGTGGTACCAGGTATTAAACCCAGGGCTTCATACATGCAAGGCAAGTGCTCTGCCACTGAGCTGCATCTCTGGCCCCTGTATTTCTTTTCTTGGTAGTGGTAGTGTTTAACCATTTGTTTCTTTGTTTTCAGTAGAAAGAGGCTTGGTTTGTTTTTTTTTTTTTTTGCTTTTTCTCATTATAAATCTAAACTGTATATTAAAGGTAAAGGTAAAGGCCCTCCCGTTGATCGTCGATTTGCTCGAGCGGGCCCAGTAACGTCTCCATTGGAGACTTTGTTGTTACTGTGTCTGGCATATCGAATACTCTCGGTAGCTTGCCGGGCTCTCCGAGAGGGGCGGAGGAATCGAACTCGGGTCGGCCATGTTGGCCGCGTGTAAGGCGAACGCCCTACCCGCTGTGCTATCTCTCCAGCCGAAACTGTATATTAATTTTAAAAATTTAGACAAGTTGTCAGGAGTAACCTCTGTGCATCATCAGGTGTGACACAAAAAGAAAAAAAAAAGAGATTTCAGAGCCACAGAGCATTGCTCAAGGGAAAGGCAATTGCATTTAAGGATGACGGAGTGATGCGGCCAGTTTGCTCTTTTGCTGGCTGTGATGGCATCCTGGAAAGCAGCCCCCACAGGCATCAGGGTGCTCCCAGGGTGGAGTGCAGGGTCTGCATGCAGGATCCCCGGGTTCTATCCTCAGCCCATAGGGTCCCCCGCTACCACCCTGAGCACTTCACTGGGAGTGGAGGGGTTTTAAGATTCCCACACATGTAATTCTCAACCTGTTACAAACATACCTAGATTCAGCAACACCCTATTATTTCTTATTTTCAATAAACAATAGTTCCCCATGGGGAAAAAAAATTTAGACAAGTTGCTGGGAGGATAGTTCAATTCCTGTTCAATCCCCAGCACCACATATCGTCCTCAGCATTGCTAGGAGTGATCCATTACCCCTCAGTGTAAAACAAAACTGAAAACAAAAATTTTCAGTAAATAAATATTTTTTACATTTTTCCAAAAGGTTGAGCCTAGGGTTTGGAAAATAGCTTAAAAGCTGAAGCAAGGACTAGAGCAAGAGTCAGCAGGTAGGGCACTTACCTTGCACAGGGCTCACCCCAGTTCAATCCCTGGAACCCCTGAGCCCGCCAGGAGTGAACCCTGAATGCAGAGCCAGAAGTAAGCCCCGAATATCACCCATTGTGACCCAAAACCAAAAAAGATGGATCATATGCTTTGATTTTTTTTTTAATTGGCTTTTTGGGTCACACCTGGCGATGCTCAGGAGTTACTCCTGGCTCTGCACTCAGGAATTACTCCTGGCCATGCTCAGGGGACCATATGGGATCCTGGGGATCGAACCCAGGTTGGCTGCATGCAAAGCAAATGCCCTCTCCGTTGTGCTACTGCTCCGGCCCCAGGAGCATATGCTTTGAATATGGGAACCCTGGGTTTGATCCCCAGACTTGCATAATACCCCAAGCACCACTGGGAGGGGACCCCTGAGCAGTGTGGTAGTAGCAGCCCTTGATCACAGCTGGGTGTGGCTGTGAAAGGAAAAAATAGTTGAGCCGCTGTCATTTTAATGGTTATATAATAGCCCACGATGCGCTGTGCTGTCATTTGTGCACCTAATGCATATCATCTCTAATTTAACAAAGCTTCTTTGCTTATTTGCCCTTGTTCACTTGTCTGTTTCCTTAGATTATATTTTAGAAATGGAGTACTGCAAAATGTGCATACATCTTTTGAGACTCCTCTGTTGTTGTTGTTGTTGTTTTTCTTGCTTTTTGGGTCACACTGAGTGATGCTCAGGATTACTCCTGCCTCTGCACTCAGGAATTAATCCTGGAAGTGCTTGGGGGACCATATGGGATGCCAGGGATTAAACTTGGGTCGGCCGCATGCAAGGCAAATGACGCCCTACCTGCTGTACTATTGCTCTGGCCCAAGACTTATTTTTTTTTTTTGTATCATTTGGAGAAGGAGGCACCTCCAAGGGGTGCTCGAGATACCCAGGGGCCCCAGTGGTGATTCTCAGCAAACAGGCCCTCAGTTCGATGCAGAGACCTGAGGATGAGACGCTGCTTCCATCCCTCAGTGCTGGGAATACCCAGGCCACTACTGAGCACCTCCAGGGCCACACCCAGCAGTGTGGGGACCTCCTCAAGGGCCTCCAGAGGTGCATCTGTGATGTTTGGGAAGCCATGCCAGATACAGATGTTGAGAACCAAACCTGGATGGGAGCCCTAACCACACTACCTCCCAACCCCTACTATGTCTTTGGGGAATTTTTTTTTTCTTTTTAGGTGGGCTATCAATTAGACACTACCTCCACTACCCAGCCTTCGCTACACTCCAGGACGCTTTCCGGACCCGCACAGCCGCGAAGGACACATCATAAGACACTAAATACCCATCTTCAGGAATTGACGTACCATATTTGATAGGGTTCAAATATGGTAACACCTATAAGGGTGATTAGAGATCGCCCCAAAAGCCTCTATGCCTCTCGGAAAGCCTGGCAAGCTACTGAGAGTATTCCGCCCTCACGGCAGAGCCTCGCAAGCTATCCATTGTGTATTCGATATGCCAAAACCAGTAATTACAATGGGTCTTATTCCCTTGACCCTGAAGGCTTCACCAATATGGCAGCATTGAGAAGGATGAGAAAGGAGAGGCCGATAAAATCTCAAGGCCGAACTAGGCTGCCACAACGAAGGAAGACAAAAATGGTCGTCTGTACTTTCAATGCACGTACACTAGCATCAGATGTATCCATCGAGGACCTGATGGTACAAGCGCAAAAGATCAAGTATGATATCATTGGTCTGACCAAGACAAGAAGGCACCAATCTCACCATGCCGTTTTCGACACTGGAGAAGAATTGTTCCTTGGAACATGCGATAAAAGAGGTGTTGGAGGCGTCGGTGTCCTTGTCAACGCAAACTTGGCCATGAGCATTGATTCATTTGAATGCCTAACAACCCGAATCGGACATTTACATTTGAATAGATGTGGCTCACTGCCTGCAGTTTCTATCTTCGTTGTCTACACACCAACATCTCATTATGATGAAAGAGAAATCGAGAAGTTCTACATGGAGCTAGAGAAGTTCTATAAAGAAGACCACACCTTCTACAAGATCATTGTGGGTGATTTTAATGCCAAGAAAGGACCGAGAAGATCAGCTGAAGAACTTCACATCGGGACCCATGGCCTAGAATGGAACGAACAGGGTGAGAGACTGTCTGAGTTCATCATGTCGACCAAGACCATCCATGGTAACTCACAGTTCCGGAAGGCAGAATCTAAACGTTGGACATGGGAGTCTCCCAGTGGACGATTCCACAACGAAATAGACCACATCATATTCAATCGACAGTTTTGCCTGACCGATGTCGCTGTTGTCCCAAAATTTCGAACGGGATCGGACCACCGTCTCCTTCGTGCAAAATTCTACTTCACAGAGCGGGGAGAAAGGGCTGCAAAGTTCAAAAAGAGAACTCCCAGAACGACCACCAACTGGGAACTCTTTGGCAGTATTGCGGCAACATGGGAAGATGCCATTGTTGACAACATTGACGAGGAATACGGTCGACTGGTTCAGTACCTCCATGAATGTGCGAGGAACGCCAAGAGAGAGATAGCCACAAAAAAACGCCTATCTTCGAAAACTCTTGAGCTAATTCGCCAGCATGGTTTGGCGCATGCCTCAGGCAACCGCAAGCTAATGTCTGAGCTCGCAAAGCAGTGCAGAGATGCGATCAAGGAGACCTCAAAGAGAGAAGAGCAGAAGTACTGGTAGATGCGGCAGAAGCTGGGAAAAGTATTCGTTACGCCCACCTGTCCTTCGCCAACTACAAGACCAAGATGACTGCCCTCCGACGTCCTGATGGATCCATCACATCCTCCAGAACGGCAATGGAGAAGATTATCCATGACTTCTACTCAAATCTCTTCGATAGCCATGTCCACTTGCCGACATACCAAATTCCACAGGATGGATATGTCGTTCCCAACGTTCTCCCTTCCGAAATCCAACACGCCATTTCGTCGGTAAAGAAACAAACAGCACCCGGCCCAGACAAGGTCAGACCTGAACACCTGAAGAACCTGCCGTCAGTACTCATCAATACACTGGCTCGGCTCTTCACTCGCTACCTGTCTGAATGCAAGGTTCCGTCCCAATGGAAAACCAGCAGGACCGTACTACTGTTCAAGAAGGGAGACATCCATGACATTGGCAACTATCAACCTGATCTGCCTATTGTCTGTCATCTACAAGTTGTTCACTCGAGTCATCCTAAATAGGATTGGCAGAACACTAGATGAAGGACAACCATGTGAGCAAGCCGGGTTCCGCAAAGGATTCAGCACCATCGACCATATCCACATAATAACCAAACTCATTGAGGTTTCTCGGGAGTTCAAGATGCCGCTCTGTTTAACGTTCATTGATTTAAAGAAGGCCTTTGATTCTGTTGAGACGGAAGTGGTCATTGAAGCCCTAGCCAATCAGGGCATTCAAGCCCAATACATCAGGATCCTCCGTGAGCTGTATTGCGGATTCACTACCAGGGTCTCACCATTCTACAAAGAAGTGATCGTTGATGTCAGGAGAGGGGTTCGTCAGGGTGATACCATTTCACCGAAACTCTTCAGTGCCACCCTCGAGAACATCATGCGATGACTGGAATGGGAAGGAATGGGAGTGAAGATAGATAGTCGGCAACTACACCACCTCCGCTTTGCTGATGACATTGTTTTAATAACACCAAACATCAGCCAAGTGGCACAAATGCTGGCCGACTTTGACCGTGAGTGTGGAAAGGTAAGACTATAGCTGAATCTTACGAAGACAGTGTTTATGAGAAACAGCCTCGTTCCTGATGCCCCATTCGCTCTCAACGGAACAACCATCTCCGAATGCAACAGCTATGTGTACCTAGGTCAAGAAGTCAACATGACAAATGACCTGGCACCCGAGCTGCGCAGGAGGAAGAGAGCGGCTTGGAACGCCTTCAAGAACGTCGAAGAAATAGCTAAGAGGACCAAGAACCTCCGGCTCCGGGCACATCTCTTTGATTCCACTGTTCTTCCTGCATTAACATATGCCTCAGAGACCTGGGCCCTACGCAAACAGGATGAGAACACTATTCAGGTCTCCCAAAGAAGAACTGAAAGAGCTATGCTTGGAATATCACGGTTCACTCAAATGAGAGAAAAAATCCGGAGTTCTGACATCCGTCGACGATCAAGAATCAGGGACACAGTCTCATTTGCCAAGGTGTCAAAAATCAGATGGGCTGGTCACGTAATGAGATTTAAAGACAACCTCTGGACTAGAGCTGTTACTGACTGGATTCCACGGGATGTCAAAAGAACACGTGGCCGCCCACCTACCAGATGGTCAGACTTCTTCGTGAAGATCATGAACGATCGGTTTGAGGCTCTTCATGTTCCCAGAGCGAACAGATGCCATTGGGCTACACTAGCATGCAACAGGGACAAATGGAGACGTTACTGGCGCCCACTCGAGCAAATCGACGACTAACGGGAAGTTAAATGATTAAGTGAAGTGATTAAGGTGGGCTATAGAAATAGCACAGCAGGTGGGGTGTTTGCCTTGCACGCGGCCAACCCAGGTTCGATTCCTCCACCCTTCTCAGAGAGCCTGGCAAGCTACCGAGGGTATCTCGTCCGCATGGCAAAGCCTGGCAAGCTCCCCGTGACATAGTTGATATGCCAAAAACAGTAACAACAAGTTTCACAATGGACAGATGAACAGTGGGAGGACAATGCTACAGTGCTTCAGTGCTTTTTGGGTCACAGTGCTTTTTGGGAATCGAACCCGGGTCGAGCTCCAGCCCTCTTGTTTTCGTTTTGATTTTGTTTTGTTTGGGGTGCTATGCTTGCTGTGTTTGGGGCTTAAATCCTAGACAGCTGTGTACAGGCCAAGTGCCTTACCTGCTATACCATGTCTCGTTGTTACTATTTTTAATTATAGGGACAGTAAAGTGTTGACGTTAAAAGGATGGATTGTGGGGCTGGAGCAATAACACAGTGGATAGGGCATTTGCCTTGCACGCGGCCGACCTGGGTTCAATCCCCAGCATCCCATATGGTCCCCCCAGCACCGCCAGGAGTAATTCCTGAGTGCAGAGCCAGGAGTAACCCCTGTGCATCTCTGGGTGTGACCCCAAAAAAGGCAAAAAAAAAAGGATTGATTGTGTAGTCAGTCAGTCTACCTGGCATCCTATCCACTTCATCTCTTACTAGTTGTATGACCTTGATTATATCACTTAACCTGCCTCAGTTTTAACATCTCTAAAATGGGGATTACATTGCCTACATCCCCCATATAAGGTTGGTAGGTTTAATTGCATTCATATGAGTGAAGCATGTAAGATACCTATCAAGTATCATATGAAAGTTGCTTTAGTATGTTAATAATTTTTACATGAAAAAGAGTGGTTTTATTTCTTGGATTATGAGTCGTGTTGAGTGACCGTTCAGATCCTTGTTAGGGTTTTTTTATTTTGTTAATTTGTTATTTCATTTATCTCAATCCGTTTCTGATTCTACGTAGACTTATTGGGAAGCTGTCAGAGCCTCTTCAAGTGCTCCAGGAAGCTCACTCATTTTCCTGGGATTTTACCAATCAGGTTCACAGCTGCAGCGAAGATGCTGTTTGACCTGCGGCAGCGGCTGAAGGAACTGAAGGAGATGAGTCTCGAAGTGCGCTATTCCCACGACGCTGTCCACAAGGGAGTGGGGCTGCTGGATGCCAGCGTCACTGAGCTGCTGCAGCGTCTGCTCCACAGGTCTCCCAAGCAGGCGGTGGCTGGGGGCGGGGCCGGAGGGCAGGAACCAGAGGCTAAGCATTGTGGTGCCTCCGTGTCTCTCTGTGCAGGGCCTTTGTGGTAGAAACCCAGCCCTGCATGCCTCAGATGCCCCATCGACCCCTCATCCTCAAGACGGGGAGCAAGTTCACCGTCCGAACAAGGTCGGCCTGACAGCCCACCTCATGTCTGCTTCCTTTGCCCTGCATGGTTTGCTTCCTGGCCTCTCACTCCTGGTCTTTTCTCTCTTTTTTTCTTAGTCTGCTACCTCGTTTAAATTGTTTTTCCTTTAAAAAAAATTTTTTTTAGGGGCCTGGAGCTATAGCACAGTGGGTAGGGCACCTTGCATGTGGCCGACCCGGGTTCGATTCCCAGCATCCCATATGGTCCCCTGAGCACCACCAGGAGTAATTCCTGAGTGCAGAGCCAGGTGTGACCCCTGTGCACTGTGCATTGCCGGGTGTGACCCAAAAAAGGTAAGGTAAGGTAAAGGTAAAGGCCCTCCCGTTGATCGTCGATTTGCTCGAGCGGGCCCAGTAACATCTCCATTGGAGACTTTGTTGTTACTGTGTCTGGCATATCCAATACTCTCGGTAGCTTGCCGGGCTCTCCGAGAGGGGTGGAGGAATCGAACTCGGGTCGGCCATGTTGGCCGCTTGTAAGGCGAACGCCCTACCCGCTGTGCTAAAAATTTAATTTATGTTACGTGCCGTGGTTTACAATACTGCTCATGATGGGGTTTTGTATATAACCCTTTCCAGCACCTCAGCCTCCACCAGCATGTCCCTTTCCCTCCACCACTGTCCCAGTGACTCTGCCACCCCCTCCCTGTGGTCAGCTTTCTACTGAAGACAGTTCTCAGTTTCTGTCGCCTGTGAGCGTTTGTTATTCCCCACTCTGTTTCTTTCTGCTCCACATACGAGAGAGATCATTCTGTGTCTCCCCCTCTCCTGACTAACTTCACTCAGCAAGATACTCTCCAGACCCACCCAGGGAGCACCAGCTTGCTTGATTTCATCTGCTAGCCCAGTACCTCTTCGAATCCTTCTCTTTTTCCGACATCAGGCCTCTCTGGGAGATGTAAGAGTGACCCCTCTCCCCCTCTCCATCCCTCTCCTCCAGGCTGCTGGTGAGACTTCAAGAAAGCAACGAGTCACTCACCGCAGAAGCCTTCATTGACAGGTTAGCTGTGGCAGGTGACAGTGGGACCAAAGAGTGACCAAGATACGGCCTGGCAATGGGGAGAAACTACCTGCTCTTTACAAGAGTGCTTGGGGCTCTGTCCTTCCCTCTCCGTCCCTACCCCGTAGAAATCATACCTCGCCCCGTTTGTTGAGCGCTGACTCTGTGGCATGCGTTTAATTTGGGTTGGAGCCCCCAAGTTAGGTGTCAGTGCGCCGTTCAGAGGAGGGAACCTGCTCAAGGAAGTGTTATCCCCGATCCAGAGCCACCTAGAGCATGAGCTGTGGACGCGGACGGCCACATTTCTTCCTTCTGTGCTGTTTTGCTTCCTAATGTCTTCTGTATTTCTTTCCAGGAATCCTTCTCAAGCACAAGGGTAGGTGTCTGAAGGACGCTGAAATCTCTGTACCACTTGAGCCACATAATTTCCTGGAGGCACAAACATGGATTTGGAGGGCGCCTGGACAAAAGGAGCAGGGGGCTGGAGCACAGTGGAATGTTGCTTTACATTGGGAGCCTGTGCTAGTTAGCATTAAGGAAGTCCTTGTCCTGGCGGCGTGTAGCCTAAAGGCCATTATGCCTTTACTCCTTGCACATTAGTCTTACAGGGTATAGAGTAAATTCCCTGGCATCCTCTCCTGCTGCTGCAGCCTTTGCAGTCACTTCCTCCCACACAGACTGCTTTTCAGACTGTGGAGGAAGAGGCTGAGTATTTCCCTCTTGAGGACAAACAAGGCATGAGATAATAAATTCTGTTTATAGACTTCCCTACGATCTCCTCCTTTTTCTTTTAATTTATGCAGCATGACCTTCAAGATCTGATGAGCTCTCTCCACAATAGCTTGTCCTTGTGGGTTATATGGAATTCCAGTAACGTGCTTAATTTCAAATGTATTGCAAAAGCTTTGAAATGCTGTCCCAGTTTTTTATATCCTGGGCCATTATTAGTCTTATAGGATCATAGGATACCAAATCGAGCAAATTGACTAAGACACTGTCGCAATACAGTTTTCTCAAGGTTTTTGAATAACTCTGCTCTTATTTTCCATCTACTTTCTTCCTCTTGGAATAGCTTCCGGAAATTCAACATTTTCACCTCAAACCAGAAAACTTTGACCCCCATAAGAGGAAAGACTGATGGCTTAATTTGGGACTTTGGCTACCTGGTAAGAAGGGCTAGATTTTTGTTTGTGGCTTTTTTATTTTTTTTTGGTGGGGTGGTGGTTGGTGACATAGGGTGGGGTTTGAGCACATTAGGTGGTGTTCATGGGCTACTCCTGGCTCTGTGCTCAGGGGTAACCCCTGATAGTGCTTGGGGGACTGTATCTGGTGCCAGGGATATAATGGGGTGGGAACAGGGATTAGGGAGGTGTCAGTCATGTGCAAGACAAGCACCTCAGCCCCTGGAGTATCTTTTGACCAAGAAGGGTTAGTCACTTAAATGTTTTGGCCTTTTTATTTTGTTTTGGGGGTGTTGCTCTCAGTGGTGCTCAGGGGCTCCTCCTGACCCATTTTGTGGGAAACATTACCAGTAATGCTCCTTGGACGATGCAGTGCCAGGATCAAATCCAGGCCTCCCACATGCAAAGCTTATGCTCAACCCTTTGAGCTAGCCCTCTGGCCCAAGTTTGTTTTTTATCCAGGCCTAGAGCGATAGGACACGGAGTAGGGCATTTGCCTTGCATGCAGCTAACCCAGGTTCCATCCACGGCATCCCATATGGCCTTCTAAGCCCTGTCAGGAGTAATTCTGAGTGCAGAGCCAGTAGTAAACCCCTGAGCATAGCTGGATGTGACTCAAAAAATAAAACAAAACCAAAATTGTGTGTGTGTACAGGTGGTGATGGGGTTTGAACCCAGAGCTTTACCCATGGGGGGCAATAAACACTGAACCCACTAACTTTAGCTCTTCAGGGGAATGACTTAAGTACAAAGTCATGGTAATTGGAGGCAAATTTCCAAACACCGGTAAATCTCAAATAAGGATACAGAGAAGTACTGCAGTGGGTAGGGCTCTTGCCTTGCACGTGATCTGCACCTGACCAACATGCGATCAATCCCTGGCATCCCATATGGCCCCCTGAGCACTGCCGTGAGTGATCTCTGAGTACCTCTGGGTGTGGCCTAAAAACAAAAAAGCCAGGATAGAAATACCCTGGGGTCCCTGCTGAGACTGTGTTTGCTTCCCCTTCATTCACAGACTCTGGTGGAGCAGCGTTCAGGAGGCTCAGGAAAGAACATCAATAAGGTGAGGCTGGAGCGGAGGAGTGGGAGATTGGTGGGGGGATGTTTTCAGGGGATCCTTTTGTCACTTTGTTTTGGATAGTGCCAGGGACTGCTGCCTGTGACCGAGGAACTTCACATCATCAGCTTCACTGTCAAATACACCTACCAGGGTCTGGAGCAGGAGTTGAAAGTGAGTGAAAATACCCAAGCCAGAATACAGCAAGCAGGTGGGGCATTTCTTTGCTGACCCAGGTTCGATCCCTGACATCCTGACATCCCGTATGGTCCCCTGAGCACCACCAAGAGTGACTCCTGAGTGCAGAGCCAGGAGTAACCCCTGAGCATCGCCAGGTGTGGCCCAAAAACAAACCAACCAACAAAGTGAGTGAAAAATGGAAGGCAGGGAGAGGTGAAACCAAGTGGAGAGAAGACACGAAAGGGGCCCCAGGGATGCCTCGCAGGTGGGCTGTTGCCCTGTGCCCTGTTGTCAAGGGAGCATTCATGGCGTGGAGCGATAGCACAGCGGGCAGGGCATTTACCTTGCACGCGGCTGACCCAGGTTCGATTCCTAGCATCCCATATGGTCCCCCAAGCACCGCCAGGAGTAATTCCTGAGTGCAGAGCCAGAAGCAACCCATGAGCATCGCTGAGTGTGATCCAAAAAGCATAAATAAGTAAATAAATAAGTAAAAAAAATAAAGGGCGCATTCATCCTCTGGACCCCTCTCTGCTCAGACGGACACCCTTCCTGTGGTGGTCATCTCTAACATGAACCAGCTCTCCCTTGCCTGGGCCTCCGTCCTCTGGTTCAATCTGCTCAGCTCTAACCCCCAGGTAAGAGGTGGTGGGCTCCAGAGGTGGTGGGCGGAGGCTGGGGAGGGCAGGGGGGAGGACCCTGCTTCCCAGATCTCCCGCCCTTCCACCCCTGCAGAATCAGCAGTTCTTCTCCAGCCCCTGCAAGGCGCCCTGGAGCGTGCTGGGCCTGGCGCTCAGCTGGCAGTTCTCCTCCTACATCGGCCGAGGCCTCAACGTGGAGCAGCTGCACATGCTGAAAAACAAGTTGTTTGGTAGAGGCCGTCTCTGCTCTCGCGGGTGTCTGGGGGCCAGTCCTCTGCCCCTCCCAGCCCGGGGACCCACTGGCCCTGCTCCTGCGCTCACCTAAGTCTGTTTGCTTGCAGGGGAGGACGTACAGTCTGAGGATGCAGTGCTGTCCTGGGCTGACTTCGTTAAGGTGATCGCCAGCCCCACCCAGGCCCCAGCAAACACTGGCCCTCCCCTGCCCCCTTCTCCGCAGCGAGAGGGCCTTCCCCCATCTCTTCCTGCTTTTTCCCTTTCCTCATTCAGCGAGAGAGCCCCCCCGGCAAACTGAAATTCTGGATATGGCTGGACAAAATTCTGGAACTGGTCCATGATCACCTCAAGGACCTCTGGAATGATGGGTGAGGCTTTCCCTGGCATCTCTTCTGCCTCCCCTGCCGCCTCTAACCCGCATCCTTCGGGACTTGAGAGGGGACTCAGCGCCCTCGTGTGGCAAAGAGAGAAAGCGCAAGAGCTGGTGCAAAGTCACACCCCTGCGCCTTGCAGGGAAGGCAGGGGGCCGGTACTTACTTGTCAAGTGTCTTCTGTGTTCCACAGCCTTCTGGGTGCTTTTCTGAATTCTCACTGAACAACTAAGCCCCGTGGAGTGACAGGTTGCCAAGGGAGGAAATTAAGCTTGGAGATCTTAGAGAATTTGCTCAAGGGGAGAGAGTTGGACCCAGGCCCTGTGTAACCCTAAGCATACGCCCTTCCCACCAAACTCCTTTCCACCAAACTGCTGCCCCTTTGTATAGCACCTTGCTTTGCTCAGGCAGTTTTCTTTCTTTGTTTGTTTTGGGACCACATCTGGCAATGCCTAGGGCTTACTCCTACCTCTGTGCTCAGGGATCACTCCTGGCCATGCTAGGGGTGGGACGGGGGCAACCTGGTGTGGTACCAAGAACTGAATCTGGGTTGGCTATGTGCAAGGCAAGCCCCCTACCTGCTCTACCATCTGTTCAGCCCCTTAGTAACTTTTATAACTTCTTTTTTTTTCCTTTTTGGGTCATACCGGTGATGCACAGGGGTTACGCCTGGCTCTGCACTCAGGAATTACTCCTGGCGGTGCTTGGGGGACCATATGGGATGCTGGGAATCAACCCAGGTTGCCGTGTGCAAGGCAAACCCCTACCCGCTGTGTTATTGCTCCAGCCCCAATATGACTTATTTTTTATAACTTCTCATTTGATTGTGTGTATGTGTGTGTGTCGGGGGGAGGAACAGGCCACACCTGGCAGTGCTCAGGGCTCACTCAGCTCTAATCACACCATATGATCATATGTAGTACCGGGATTCGAACCAGGGTTGGCCACATGCAAAGCAACCTTAACCCCTATACTAACTCTCTGGCCTCGCACAAGGCAGTTCATCTCTGTGATCTCACACCTCCTCTAACCCTGGGAGGTATTTCTTATTAATGCGGGAAGTGACTTGCTGAGAGGGAACAATTTATAAAATGGCCAAGCCAGGGACAAAGTGGGAGCAAGGAGGCCAGGGAGATAGCACACGGGGAAGGCACTTCACTTGCCTGTGCACAGCCCACCCAAGTTCCATCCCCAGCACCACGTTCTCTGGTCCTAAGCCCTGCTAGGGGCTGATCCCTGAAACAGCGCCAGGAGGAAACCCCTAGCCCGGTCATGTCGACCCCCCAAAAAGAGGAGGGAGGACAAAGAGATAGGAGATGGCATTTCGTCACCGCTGCTTTCTGTGCTCTAGGTTCATCATGGGATTTGTGAGCCGCGGCCAGGAGCGCCGGCTGCTGAAGAAGTCCATGTCTGGCACCTTCCTGCTGCGCTTCAGCGAAACGTCAGAAGGAGGCATCACCTGCTCGTGGGTGGAGCACCAGGATGATGGTCAGCTGCCCTGCTCTGTCCTTTCTGCCCCTCCACTGCCCAGTGGCTTCTCTGGCTTTGTCCTGCATCCCTCGGCATGTTCAGGATTGGACAGCCAAGGGCGGCAGCCCCCAGCCCAGCCTCTGCCGTCCAGCTTGGCTGTTGTCCCCCCCAGATAAAGTGGCCATCTACTCAGTGCAGCCCTACACCAAGGAGGTGCTCCAGAGGCTCCCGCTGACCGAAATCATCCGCCACTACCAGCTGCTGACCGCGGAGAACATCCCTGAGAACCCGCTGCGCTTCCTCTATCCCCGAACGCCACGGGATGAGGCTTTTGGTCGCTACTACAGGGAGAAAGGTGGGATCATTGCCAGACCTGGCTGGGAGGATTCTAGGCATCCACTGGCCCGACTCCTTCCTTCCAGAGAGGGAACCCCCATATCCAGAGAAGCCTGAGGATTTGTCCCTGGGGCACTGGTAATTTATTGGGGAGATCTGACTGACGGTGTCAATCAACATGAGATGGTCCAGGCGCTGGAGTGATGGCACAGCGGGTAGGGCATTTGCCTTGCACACGGCTGACCCAGGTTCAATTCCCAGCATCCCATATGGTCCCCCAAGCATCGCCAGGTATAATACCTGAGTGCATGAGCCAGGAGTAACCCCTGTGCATCACCGGATGTGACCCCAAAAAACAAAACAAAACATGAGATGTCCCCTAGGCACCGCCAGGCGTGACTCCTGCATGCAGAGCCAGGAGTAAACCCAGAGCATCACTGGGTATGACCCAAAAGCAAAAGAAAAGAACCAATCAGCATGAGGGGGCACCTTGTTCTCTGTGCCCAATGCACTGACTTCTGCTCTTTCCTTGGATGTCCCCCTCAGTTGACCTCCAGGAACAGAAGAAATACCTGAAGCATAAGCTCATTGTGGTTTCTAACAGGTGAGATTTGAATCTCCGCGTACTCTGGGCTGCATTGTCCTGTCTGGAGCCCTGATATCCACCTTAGATTCCCTGATAATAATGGTCGAGATCTCCGATGGTACCAGCAATCTGCTTACATCCAGCATGATACTAGATTTTTTTAGAACTTTTAAAAAAATGCATGAGAACCCATCAGAGTAGGTAATAACAGTAGCCACATGCTATGAACGTTTATTCTGTGTCAGGATCTGGGCTAAACGTTTTATGCTCGTTTTTTCGTTTATTGAGTCTTCTTGATAGTTCTAGGAGACAGATAACGTTATTGCTATTGTTTTCTACTGAGAACGCAGTTTTAAGTCCTCTTTTTTTTTTCGTGGGTCTCTTCCAGCAATGCTCAGGGCTTACTCCTGACTCTGTGTTCAAGGATCACTCCTGGCCTGGGTTCAGGGGACCATGTGGGGTGCTGGGGATCAAACCCAGGTCAGCTGTATGCAAGGCAAGCACCCACCTGCTATACTATCTCTCCGGCTTCTTTTTTTTTTTTTTCCTTTTCTGATATTTGCTGTTTGGGCACCACACCCAGTGATGCTATAGAGGGGATACTCCTGCTGTCGTGCTTGGGGGAACCAGGCGGTAGCAAGGATCAAACCTGGAGCTCCTGCATGTAAACCATGTGCTCCGACCCTTGAGCCAGCTTCCCAGGCCCCCAAAACTCTGCTTTCAATCATCCTATTGCTATCAAGTTGGTTAGGTATTATTTCTGTTTTACAGATTGATAAGTGTGAGGCTGTAAAAAACTCCGAGCATGGCCGGGGGTAGCCCCGATGGCTCTTCCCCTGGCTGCCCAGGTTCTGGGGGTCCCAGGCTGCCCCCCAAACCGGGATGGCCCAGGCCCTGGGGCAGATGGCAGACTAAACAAGGGCAAAGCCAGTGGATTGATCAGATGCCGTTTATTCCATTCTCATCCCCGTGCAATCCTCTCTCCCTCTCTCTCTCTCTCTCTCTCTCTCTCTCTCTTCTCTCCTCTCCTCTCCTCTCCTCTCCTCTCCTCTCCCAGGCCCCGATCTGGAACCCCTCTTTCCTGGCTCTTGCTCTGGCTCTCGATCTTGATCTTCTCTCCCCCTTGTCCTCTCTTACAGTCTAGTTAAATCCCCACAACCTTGAGGGGCTGGGCTTACACATTGGTGTGGTCACAATCAGTTGGCTTAAAGTTCTTCCCCTCAGGGGATGCCGCTTCTAGGACAGATTCTCTTTCAGCAGGACCACCCACCCAAGGGTGGAATCCCGTGGATGTATTTCTCCTCTCCTTGTCCAACAAACATATAATCATTCATAATATTAATCATTTTGTATGGGCACAGTAAGAGAGGCATTAAGCTTATAGAATTGCTCTCCTAGGGTCATCCCGATCTCAGACTACAGTGCTCAGGCCAGATTAGTCTTTCCTATCCCTAGCAGGTTCCTAGTCTCGTCGTTACTTTGGATCATGACAGCATTTGTCATGATCAAGCTCTTAAATTATAGTTAAGAATTGTGGCGCTTTGGCCAGACCCATCTCAATGCCAAGGTAGCACACAGCTTACCGCTTGCCCTGGTTCCATCCAGTCCCTTGTCGGGACCCTGCTTTTGGGGGCGCTAGGAAGTGAGGGCAACTGAGGCTTAAGTTGAGAAAGCAGATGCCCGGGAATGAAAAATATCGAAGCCAATTAAATTCCAAATTACAAAAGCATAATATTAATTGTCATCTTGTGTCGATACAAAAGGACATTGCTTTACAGTAAACCATTCAAAAGACAGAAGGAGAGGAGAAAGGCAATATTAATTTACAATATAAGATCAGTGTCCTAGAAAGATCTGACCTTACAAATTAACAGAAACTGAATAAGGGAATAAGCTGATTAACTGGGGAAGAGAGCATAGAGTAGTTACAAATAAACAAAAGAATGGTAGTGACCCAGGGAGCACTGGGTGGGTGTGACCAGATAAACATAGCTGCCTGAGGAAGGACAAAACAGTGTTACCTACATGAGGCTTAGAAAGATTGGGCTAGAGTGACAGTACAGTGGCTCTGGCATCTGCCTTGCACATGGCCAACCTGGGTTCAATTCAGGTTTTAATTTCTACGGCACCCATAGGGTCTCCCAAGCCCCCCAGAGTAAACCCTGAGTACAGAGCCAGGAGTAAGCCCTGAGCACTGGTGGTTGCGATCAAAACACAAAAAGGGAAAATGGAGCGATAGATGGGGTGGGCATTTGCCTTGCACGCAGTCAACCCGGGTTCGATCCCTGGCATCCCATATGGTCCCCCAGCACCGCTGGGAGTAATCCCTGAGCATTGCCAGGTGCGGCCCAAAAAACCAAACCAAAAAACCAAAACACAAAAAGGAAATAAAGAAGGATTGAGTCAGTTGCTAGTAAATGATGGATTCATACTCCAGGAAGCCTGGCTCCAAAGCCCCTGGGTCTTGGGTTCTCTGCTCTACTGCTTTCTTAGCCTGGAAAGAACTTTTCCCTTTTCTCGCTTCCTCTGCTCGTCTGTCATTCCCCGTTTCACCAGACTCACTGGGCCCTGCCCCTGTGTCTGCCTTGCCTTATCCAGACAGGGGGATGAGCTGCCACAGCCAACGGAGAGTGCGTTGGATTGCGAAGAAGTGTTACCAGACCCAGATCAGGAGCCAGTGCCTGACGTAGACCAGTTGCTGGAGTCAGAAACAGAGTTGGAGGAGCACGTGCGGGCCCTGTTAAACGCGCTGCAACCCAGCATGCCTGCCCAGAGCCTGGACCCGGAACAGAATGGAGAGCCTCTCTCAGGGCCTTTCCCGCAGCCCGCCATAGAGCCAGACTTGCCTCCTGACCTGATAAATGTGAACACTGCGGAAATGGGAAGTAAGTGATGAGATGGGACTACGGAAGAGGGGACGCGGTCTCTTTGCCAGTTCCCCTCCCCTCACCCGACAGAACCAGCTGATCCTTGACTTGAGGCTTGGGCTGGGCCCTCCCACTGTCCTCCCTCACTTCCCTCGCTGGGTTGGGGACTCCTCACCTCAGGTCCCAGCCTGACCCCTCCTCTGCTCTGCCTAGTCTTCAGAAACATGATCATCGACAGAGTCATGACCAACGGTGACCCGCTCTTGTCTGAACAGAGCAGCAGGGATGAGACCGACGATTCCTTGTGCCCCAACCATTTCTCCGCACCCGAGACTTTGAATCCTACCGATTTTTAGGAACTTTGGGCCACTGTTCTTCTCGGATCTTTTGCTCCTTCTCACCGCCTGCATCGTGATGTTGTTCTCCAAAGGAGAGACATCAGGGTGTCCCCCTTCGAAGCTGGGTTGGAGAGAGGGGTCAGAGCAATATACAGTGGGTAGGGTGTTTGCCTTGCACATGGACCTGTATTTTATCTCGGGCATTCCATTTGGTTCCCTGAGTACCTCCAGGAGCACAGAGCAGGGAGCAGGTCCTGAGCACTGCCAGATGTGGGCCCAAAAAAAAATTATTTTTTTTGAGAGAGAGAAAGAAAAGCTTCCTTCTCTTCCTGGGAGGGAAGAGATGATATAGCAGGTAAGGGACTTTCCATGCATGTGGCAGACCTGGATTCAATCCCTGGTACCACATATGGCCCCCCCAAACTGGCCAGGAATGATCCCTGAGTGTAAGGCCAGGACTAAGGCCTGAGCACTGCTGGGTGTGTCAAAACAGAACAGAACAAAAACCTCCTTCCCCTCTCTCCTGACTCAAGTGCAGCGTTTCTTTGTTTCCTGCAGGAACTGAGTGCATTTGCCTCAGCCCAGCAATGGAAAGCTTCCACCATGCGAAGGGACAGATAGCAGGTCCCCTCGCTGCGCCCCTCCCCCCCCGGGGCTATGCCCGTTCCTCCTCCTTAGATGCAGTAGTATGGCACTTGCCTCGGACGTGGATGACCAGGATTCAATCCCCGGTTCAAGCCTCATATGGTCCCCTGAGCATCACCAGGAATGATTCCTGAGCACAAAGCCAGGAGTAAGCCCTGAGCACTCAGGGTGTGACCCCAAAACAACAACAACAACAGAAAAACAGTCAAACACTCCCGACAGTCCAGAGGACCTGCGCTGCTTTGCACATGCCTTATACTGCTGGACTCAGCACCCCTAGTGCAGAAGATTTCCCATCTCCATCTCCTGGAGACCTGGGGTGGGAACTTAGGAATTGCTCTGTCGAGTGTTGGATAGAATTTGGTATTTTTTACAGAGTCTTTGATATTTCTCTACTATAGTATTCATCCCCTTGGCTGAGGAGATAAAGGACTATGGGGGCCCGGGAGCAGCAGCCCAGCATTGAGGGAGTAAGCCCTGAGCACCTCCGGGTGCAACCCCCAAACTAAAAAAAAATGTATTCCCTTTCTTCTATGCAATATATTATTTACCTATAGAAGGGTTTCTGGGCAAAGACCACCTGCCGGCATCTGAGAAGTGTGCAAGTTTATCATGGAGCACTGGACAGCGGACACCTCAGATGCCTTGGACGGCTGCCTTTCCTCTCGCTCAGTTGTGCTTCTAGTGTGACTTGAGGTGTCATTTTCCTGCCTGGTGTGTTCGAGGACCTATTTAGAGAAAAAAAACAGAAGCAGCTAATAAACTTTGCGCTTTGCACTACAGTTGGAGCTATAGTTCAGCAGGTAGGGTACTTACCTAGCAGTCGACCCAGGTTTGATCCCTGGCACCCCAGATGGTTCCCCCCACCCCCCCGAGCCCACCAGGAGTAAGTGCTGAGGACAGAGCCAGAAGTAGCCCCTGAGCACTGCCAGATGTGGCCCAAAAATCAAAATAAATAAACTTTGTACTGACTTGGAAGTGTTTCCTCTGAAGGTTATTACTTCTTACAAAGATCATGTTTTTCAGGATGCCAGCAGTTCATGTTGGAACCAGCTCATCACATCAGGGCTTGTCTTCTATCCTCTTGCTGCGTTTCTCCCGCTTACCTTCCTGTTGTGAGCGGCCTTCCTGACCCATAGATTTTGTTTTTTTCAGAGGTGGCCATGCACTATATGGGAATGATGCATGTGTACTGAGGAATGGGGTCGGGGATGGGTATGAGTACTTACACAACTAGCTTATTATCCCTCAGCTGACGATGCTGCTAGAACCTTATGTCTGTCAATGCCCTTGTAATGTGACCATGGAGAAGAGGAAGGGAAATAATCACTAGTCATTTCCCCTTTACTCTCAAAGGCAGTTTGGTTCCCTTTGGATATTCCAACTCCCTTCTGAAGGGACCTCCATATGTCCAGCTGGGGAGATCACATTAGCTTGGGGGAAATTACCTTCATTAGGGGAATTGGTGCTCAGGGGACCAGGCTGACCCAGGTGAACCTAGGACTTACACATGCAAAACCTGCACCAACTCTTTGAATTGTCTCCTCGGCTCACTCCTTTTTTTTTTTTTAAGTTTTGTCTGTTTATATTTTGTTAACTGAGATTGGTTGCCTTCTACTTTACATCCTATCCAATGTGGTACGCTTCTCCTGGCTCATCAGTGAGGTAGAGTTTGAGATGTCATGCATGCTCCAGGAACTCAAAAATTTTGAATGGGGTGATACAGCTGGCATTAAATTTTTAACTGAATGGTGACTTTGGGTACCCCAGAATACCCAGCCTGGCATAGATTCTGGAAGCATCTCACAACTATTGATCTCTTGTGAGATTTATTTATGAGTCTCTAGATCATGGCCGGTTAATGAGCTTATTTGGCATCAGAGGCAGTTCATGGGTGTGATTGCTAGGCTTCCTGGAGAGCAGGGAGATGGAGGGAGGTAGCCCATCCCCTACTCTGAAAGCCTGGAGATTTCAGTTACAAAATCCACATGCCTGAGTTTTTCAACAGATTAATTTTTGGATGAGGCTCATCCCAAGCAGTGGGTCTGGCCGTGAGCATGGCGGAGGAGTGTGGAGGTTCTCGGCTGGCAGGGTTCTGTGTGGGCGAATGCCCAGCTCTTCTCTTACCATCATTTCCCTGCAATGTTCTTTGTACACAGAATAGATCTGACTCAATCTTTTGGGGTTTTTTGGGGGGGAGTTCGCGCTCAGCAGTACTCAGGGTTTACTCCAGGCAGGGATCAGGGGAATTTATGGGATCCTGGGGATAAAACCTGGTCAGTCTTACACACAAGGTAAGTACCCTGTCCTGGTGGACTTCTGGATTATTGCTGCAGACCCTCAAAGCTACTCTTCTTAATCCCTTTGTAATCCCATTCACTTTGTTCAGCCCTACAGTGATCAAGAAGATCACAGTTATTGAGGCCCGGGGGAATACTTCAGTGGCTTAGAATGCCATCTGTGGGACTGGAGAGATAGTCCAGCTAGGAGGTGATTTGCCTTCCCCACAGATTCAATCTTTGGCGCATCCCATATGGTTCCCTGAACATGTGAGGAGAAAATCCCTGAGCCCAGAGTCAAGAATAAGCCCTGAGACCACTGGATGTAACCCAAAAAGAAAAAAAAAATGCTTTCATTTCCCGTGCTGTCACCTGTGCTAAGTATAACCCTAGCAGGCCTGCTTGATTGTGCCTGACACAAACATCTGTGACCCTGGCATGCAGTGATTCCTGGTGGCACTGCATTTTGTGTGAGGACCACAAAGGGGTAAGTACCTGTGCAAGCACTTAAACCAAAAGAGTGTGAGCCCAGAGCAGGCACTGCAGCTGCGTGTAAGCACCACATCCTGGTGTGACTCCCCAGCTAATACAACCAAAATGTGGAAGCATTTGGTCTAGATCAACACTGCAGACAACTGTGCCCACATCTCCCCACACCTCACTCTGCCACAGCAAAAACAGCCAAAGGAAGGAGGAAAGGAAAACCAGGGACTAGTTACTCTGTACACAGGGATCACGAGCTCAGCTGTGACTGCAAAATAGAAGAAAGGGATCCACATGGGGTTGGAGTGGTAGTACAGTGGGTAGGGAGTTTGCCTTGCATGTGCCCAGCCAAGGTTTGATCCCCAACATCCCATGATGTAGGACATTGGTTTGTCCTTCCTCCCTCGCCACAAGGAACTCAGGTTTATTACAGTGCTCCTGAGGCACTTCCATTCCATTGTGTTTATCTGTAAACTCTTCCCTATGTTCTCCTCCCCAATCAGTTAATCAGCTTTTCTCCTCTCCTTATGTCTTATGAATAGTTTAAAGCAATGTCCTTTTTGTATAGATACAGGAAGACAGTTAATATTATGCTTTATAACTTAGGATTTAATTGGCTTTGAATATTATTCACTCCCGGGCATCTGCTTTCTCGACTTAAGCCTCAGTTGCCCTTAGTTCCTAACACCCCAGAAGCAGGGTCCCGACGAGGGCCTGAATGGACCTAGGGCAAGCTGTGAGCTACCCTGGCATCAAAATGGGCCAGGCCAAAGTGCCACGATTTTTTTTTTTGGTGCCACGATTCTTAACCATAAATTAAAAACTTGATCATGGACAGATGCTGTCATGATCCAAAAGTAACAACGAGACTAGGACCCTGCTAGGGATAGGAAAGACTATCTGGCCTGAGCACTGTAGTCTGAGATCGAGAAGGCCCTAGGAGAGCAATTCTTTAAGCTTAATGTATGTCTTACTGTGTCCATACAAAATGATTAATATTATGAAAGTTCATATATTTGTTGGATGAGCAGAGGAGAAATACACCCATGGGATTCTGTTCTAGGGTGGGTCGTCCTGCTGAGAGTATCTGTCCTAGAAGCAGCTTTCCCCGAGGGAAAGAACTTTACTCCTGTTGATTGTGACCACTAGGCGGGGCTCACACCCACCAACTGGCCTCCTGGCGCCGTGTAATTCCATCAACGGCCAAGACGCAGAGACTATAAAACCCAGCTCCCAGAAGAGAACAGCGCAGAGTCTCCTGCCCCCGTGCCTGGCTGTCCTCGCCGGGGCCCCTTGGAGGGGAGCGGGTTGAGTTTTCCTCCCCGCCCCGACCAGGGCTCCAGCAGCCAAAGACCTCCAGAACCAGCCACCACCATGCTGAGACCACTCTCCGCACACATGAAGGTACCAGCAGAGGAACAAAGGCAAGCGGGTCCCGGGGCTGAGATCACCAAGCCTACTCGGATCGGGGCTAAGCATCCTCCACCGAGATCCTCCAAATTTCAGTAGGCAGGGCTCACACCCACCAACTGGCCCCCTGGCGCTGTGTAATCCCATCAATGGCCAAGACTCAGAGACTATAAAACCCAGCTCCTGGAAGGGAACAGTGCAGAGTCTCCTGCCCCCGCGCCTGGCTGTCCTCACCAGGGCCTCTTGGAGGGGAGCGGGTTGAGTTTTCCTCCCCGCCCCGACCAGGGCTCCGGCAGCTGAAGACCTCCAGAACCAGCCACCACCATGCTGAGACCACTCTCCGCACACATGAAGGAACCGGCAGAGGAACAGAGGCACGCGGGTCCCGGGGCTGAGATCTCCAAGCCTACTCGGATCGGGGCTGAGCATCCTCCACCCAGATCCTCCAAATTCCATAGGCGGGGCTTACACCCACACGTTAGAGTCTGGCAAACTCCCCGTGGCGTACCCAATATGCCAAATACCAGTAATAATGAAGGATCTCATTCTCCTAACTCTGAAAGAGCCTTGAATATGGCACTTTTTAAAAAAATCTCAGGGCTAGGATGAAGGAGATGTTAGTGGGGCCTGCTCAAGGCAATCGACGAATAACAGGATGGTTGTGATTGTGATTGATTGTGTGATTGTGACCACACCTATGTGTAAGCCCCAACCCCTCATGGTTTAGGGATTTAACTAGACTTAAGAGTGGGTTTTATACCCAAAATATAAAATCCAGATCCTGGAACCGCACAGCCGCATTCGCGGCCGCACAACATCTTTTCAGAACTTTTTTTTATGACTTATTGTCTCATTCCTACTTTGGACAAACTTGCAGGCTATCGAATGTAGCCTGCCCACAGGGCAGAGTCTGGCAAACTCCCCGTGGCGTACCAAATATGCCAAATACCAGTAACAATGATGGGTCTCATTCTCCTAAAGAGCCTTGAATATAATCTCAGGGCTAGGATGAAAGAGACGTTACTGGGGCCTGCTCGAGCAATTGACGAATCGACGAATAAGAGTGGGTTGGGGGATCAGGATCCAGACTCCAGAAGGAGAAGGAGAAAGGGGATCCAGATCCAGATTTCAGGGCCAGAAGGAGAATAAAAGGGGATCGAGGAGGAGAATGAAGTATCCTGGGGGAGGCAGAAGCAGGAGGAGAATCCGAGGAGAATGGAGATGGGAATGGAATAAACTGCAACTGACACCAACCAGCCTGGCCCTCGTTTCCTTCCTTTGCCTGCCCATCGCCATCGACCTCCCGATGAGTGGGGGAACCAGCGTGAGACTACCGAACGCGGGTGGTGGAAGAGATAGACTGCTGCTGTTTTTTTGTGTTTACACACCATATGCTGCCCTGACCATCCCCAGGGGTGATGCCTGAGCATAGAGCCAGGAATAAGCCCGGTGCATCACCAGGTATGGTCCCAAAAGAAAATCAAAAAGAGATCTGAGTGATAGTACAGTGGGTGACGCACTTGCCTTGCACACAATCGACCTGGATTCAATCCCTGGCACTAATATGGTCCCCCGAGCTTATCAGAAGTGATCCCTGAGTGCAGAGCCAGGAGTAAACCCTGAGCACTGCTGGGTGGCCCAAAAAAAAACAAAAAAACAAAAGAAGAAACGGATCCACACAATCCCTTGGCCATACTCTTCCATTCTGTTTCTTTTTTCCCCATCAAACCTAGAAATTAGACACAGATATTCATATAAATAAATTTATTGGAAAAAATAATGTAATTTAGTATAAATAAAATAAATAATTCACCCCAATCTTCCTTGAGGATAAATAATTGCAAATTTTCCCTCCCATCTAATAAATATTCAAGTTGGTCTTGGTCTAGATCAACATAACTTAGTACAGGTAATTTTCCAAGGAATTCAAGTCCCATTAGCATTAATGGGCTAATGAACTTGTCGGTTCGCTGGCCCCAGGCAGATGGAGTCATCTCTGTCCTGAGTATGGAGATGTGGGCGCCACCCTTGGCCGCCTCAGGGGCTCAGGGTGGCCGCTCCATGGGCAAAGACCCGGGCAGCCACAGCCACGAAGGACCGCAGGCTGCGAAGAATCTTGAGGCGGAGCAGAAGGCGCTGCCATGGCTGGCTCGGACTGGGGTTTGGGTTTTGCTCAGTCTCCCACTGGCGACCTTGAGGCTGAGAGGACACAGGACACAATCGAAACAGATCCTTTGGACACACCTCCCCGCCACCCGCTTCGACCTCTGTCACCCGCCAGCCTCCTGCCCCTCAGTGTGTGTGTGTGTGTGTGTGTGTGTGTGTGTGTGTGTGTGTGTGTCTGGGGGGCACACACCCGGCACTGCTCAGAACTTAATCCTGGCTCTGCACTCAGGAATCATTCCTGGCAGTGTGTAGGGGACCATAGGAGATGCTGGGGATCAAACCCAGTCGATCGCATGCAAGGCAAACGCCCCACCTGCTGCTCTGGCCCCTCTAGGCCCCTCATTCATACCGCTAAGAGTTGCCTGAGGCCCAGTAGAGAAGCATGGAGCTGGTGTACGGGGCCATCGGGGAGCAGAGAGGGGTCCCCTGTGAAGATGTCAGAGTCCAGCAGCTTCTCATAAAAAGACAGGCCTTGGTGGATCCTTCGCAGGCAGGACTAGGGAAAGAAAAGCCATGGAAGAGGAGGGTGTCAGTCTTTCTTCCCAATTCATTCCCTGAGACCCCCACCTCCCCCGTCCATTGCCTTTCTTAGACTCTGCCATGGCCTTAATGTCTGTGCTCCCACAAAATTCATGTGAAATCCTGAACACCCCCAGCCCCCAAGTTTCTGGAATGAGGTGGCACCTCTGGGAGGTGGAGGGTGAGGGCGCGGGGTTAGTGCTCTTGTCAGAGAGCCACGGTTTCCCCTTGCTCCTTCCACTGGGAGAGGAACAACACGGGGCCTAGAACAGGCCATGCTGTCACCCTCACCTCAGATCTCTGGCCTCCAGAACTGTGAGAAACAAATGCTTGTGGTAATTAACCCATCGGAGGCATTTTGTTACCACCAGAGTCTGAACCCAGGAGGACACACACAGCTTTTTTTTTTTCTTTTTGGGTCATACCCGGTGATGCACAGGAGTTATTCCTGGTTCTGCATTCAGAAATTGCTCCGACGGTGCTCGGGGGACCATATGGGATGCTGGGAATCGAACCCAGGTTGGCCACATGCAAGGCAAACGCCCTACTCGCTGTGCTATCGCTCTAGCCCCCACATACAGCTTCTAATCCACCCAGTTGCCTGGCTGTTTTCCCAGTCCCTCTGCCTGGTGGCCCGATCACATCTTCATACCTGACTGTTGTCCTGGAGTCCCTGCGGGTCACAGCCATCCCCGCACTGGATAAGAGGGACATCGCTGGCAGTCTCCTCTTCCTCTTCTCTCGGCAGATCCTGGAACACAGAACGAGGTGGGGAGCGTGAAGAAAGGAGAACCTCAAAACCCGCCTGGACCCTGAGGCCCGGAACTCTTCCTGGAGCCCATTCCATGCTCTGAGGAGCCTCCACCTGGCTCCCTTCTCCTCGCCACTTACCATCTGTCCCAGGGGGGAGTGAGCACTCCAGGCCAGCGTGCAGAGCTTCTGAGACAGCTGCTGGCACAGGCCCCAGGCTGGGCCCCCAGACAGCGCCCGTCCCTCTGCAGGCCCAAGAAGCAGCAGCAGCAGCAGCAGCAGCAGCAGAGCTCCGATCCCCGGCATGGCCTCGGCCACTTCTCAGGTCCAGCCCCTGTGGCCTGGCCCCAGTCCTCGTGGAATCTCTCCCCACTTCCCCTTGCTCAGAGCTGGAGTCTCTGCTCTTCAGACTCTGGTTTTGTTCCCTTTGTGGGCCACCGAGTGTCTGAGCCACTTCCTGTCCTTTAAGTCTTTGGTCTGCTGGTCTCTTTTGAAGGTCCCATTGGCACACCAGCAGGTGATTCACAGCAGGTGGGATTTTCCTCCCTGCATCATCCTGAGTACAGGTATGCAGACGCAGTTCCAGGGGAAATGAGTGTGTGGTGGCTGTGGCAAGAGGCTTAGGTTGGGACCCAGTGTGTAATGCTCTCCAGGAATTGAGAGGCTGGGGAAGGGCAGGGGGTGGGAGGACGGAATATTGAAATGATTCTAGGCTCAGTTCTTCCTGTTTAAGTTTTTCCCTCCTCTTTTTTGCCTCTCAGAGCAATGAGGAGTGTGTGTGTGGTGGGGGTGAGGGCGATAGCAGATTCCCAGTGGCACCCATCCCAACACACACACACACACACACACACACACACACACACACACAACCTCATAATCTCCTTTCTTGGGTTTTTTTTTTTTTTTTTTTTTTTTTGCTTTTTGTGTCACACCCAGCGATGCTCAGGGGTTATTCCTGGCTCTGCACTCAGGAATTACTCCTGGCAATGCTTGGGGGACCATATGGAATGCTGGGGATCGAACCCAGGTCGGCCGCGTGCAAGGCAAACGCCCTACCTGCTGTGCTATAGCTCTGGCCCCTCCTTCCTTGTTTTTTGTTTTGAGCCTATTTCCTGATCTCCTACCAATAGCGAGCTCAGTTTGGAATGAAGTTTGGTTACTACAGACCATCTGTTTAAGAATTGGGGGGGGGGGGGCTGGAGCGATAGCACAGCCGGTAGGGCGTTTGCCTTGCACGTAGCCAACATGGCCAACACAGGTTCGATTCCCAGCATCCCATATGGTCCCCCGAGCACCGCCAGGAGCAATTCCTGAGTGCATGAGCCAGGAGTAACCCCTGAGCATCGCCGGGTGTGACCCAAAAAGCAAAAAAAAAAGAATTGGTGGGGGGCCCCTTCTTTTTCTGTGTTAGGAAGTGCTAATTTTACTGGGAGAGCATGAATGCAAAGGCCCTCTGTGAGCTGGGAAGCACCAGAGGGTCATTACCCATTCCCCTTCCTCAGGGGTCACTGTGGAGGTCAGAGTGAGGACAGAATTTGGCTTCTTACCACAATCAAGAAACTCAACCTATAAATTCCTAACATGGTACCTCAAGGCAAAACACTGCCCAGCCTACAAATTCTTCAGGGCAAGCTAATCGTGCCTTGTGATCATGCCTGTCCACCCCACCATGTCTCTCCCACCCCCAAACCGGCAGGGGAGAATCCCTCGCCACGGTGTTTGCACAATCTGTCAGTATTACAACCTTCCTGGAGTAGGGGTAATCTCCACTAGGACTAAATTTCTATTTTTCAAGCGACAAAGAATGCGGGTGCCTATAATTGAGGCTGGGAAGGTTGGAGAGGCAGAGTTGATGCTCAGAAAACTGCATCAGGGGGGCTGGAACAATAACACAGCGGGGAGGGCGTTTGCCTTGCACGCGGCCAACCCGGGTTCGATTCCCAGCATCCCATAGGGTCCCCTGAGCACCGCCAGGAGTAACTCCTGAGTGCAGAGCCAGGAGCAACCCTTGAGCATCATTGGGTGTGACCCAAAAAGCAAAAAAAAAAAAAAAAAAGAAAAGAAGAAAAAAGAAAGCTGTGGTGATGATTTAAAAAAAAAAAAAAAGAAAACTGCATCAGGGACCAAAGCAATAGTATAGCATGTAGGGTGATTCCCCCGAGCGCCAATGGTCCCAAAACCAGCAGAAGTGACCCCTGAGCACAGAACCAGGAGTAAGGCCTGAGCACCATTCATTGTGCCTCCCCCCAAAAAAAATTCACTCAAATTTAGTGCCCCAAAGTTTTTTAGATGTTGTGGGGAGTTAAGTAATGGCTCTTTGGGGATCAGTCTCAGCAAGGGCTAGAAGTCCAACTGGGATATCCCAAAGTCCAGCTGCTTCCCCGTGGCTAGCATCCACGTCAAGAAGCTGAAGGTATACAGCGTAATGACCCTGCCCTGTCCTTCAGCTTGTTGCATCCATGGGTAAAATCCGCTGCCAGAGATTTCGTAATCCTCCCTGATGCAAGCGTCAGTGAAACAGCTGAGTCTGAGATTGGGATGTGGGAGCTGAAGAGGGTGGTCCAAATCCGGGACTGCCCCAACCCCAATGGAGGGTCCCAAAACAATTTGGATGTCAAAATGAGGCCATGGGTGACCACACTGCTGGCACCCAAAGCCTTCCCAAGACGTTGATCCTTTCCACTGAGAATTTTACCCTTGTCAAGGTCTCCTTTCCCATAGAACTATCCAAAGCTGCCAATGAAACTTCTGATTCAAGTATTACAACTCTCTGGTCAATCTGCCCTTTAGACAAAACATTTCCAGCATTAGAGATGTTATCTCAGTTTGAGTGAGAGATGGTTTCCCTATCCCTACATGAAGCGAACTGGAGGAGTGGAAGTGACCTCAGCTCACTGGTGTGTCGTCTCTTCTCTGGATGTCTCACCTCTTGTCCCCATTGTGGTAATCTTAAAGGACAGGAGATGAAAAGTGATGCGGAGGAGGAGGAAGTTGAGCCTGGGGGGGTGTGATGAGAGGGACCTGGGTGAGTTGGAGCCACGGGGCTCTGTGGCTTTGTTTCACTTCCCGATGCTGCAGGAGTTGGGTAGAAAGCAGAGTTAATGGGAATTGTGGGATTGGTGTGTGACAGCTATTACTTCTAGTCTAAATCTGGCTTTTTGGGTCACACCGGTGATGCACAGGGGTTACTCGTGGCTCTGCACTCAGCAATTACCCCTGGCAGTGCTCAGGGGACCATAAGGGATGCTGGGAATCGAACCCGGGTCGGCCGCGTGCAAGGCTGACGTCCTACTTGCTGTGCTATTGCTCCAGCCCCTCTAGTCTAAATCTGACCCAGAGCTGCAAACTACCCTTGACGTCAGTGAAGACTCAGTTGTTATGCAAATCACATTCACTACACCAAATGCTTTTCGATTGGATGCTCAGATTCCAAATCCAGTTGAGGGGAGGGCGTTTGCCTTGCACATGGATGACCTACGATTAATTCCCAGCATCCCATATGGTCCCCTGAGCACCACCAGGAGTAATTCCTAAGTGCAGAGCCAGGAGTAACCCCTGTGCATTGCTGCTGTGACCCAAATAGCAAAAAAAAAAAAAATCCAGTTATCCAGTCGAGGTTCCCAATTGAGTCATTAATGATGGTTGTGAAGCTGGAGAAATAGTACAGCAGGTAAGGTTTTGAATGTCACTGGCCCCAGTTCCATTCCTGGCACCACATGATCCCAAGCACAGAACCAGTAGTAGCGCCCGGTAACTCTCTCCTCCCTCAAAAAGAAAAAGAAAAAGATTTGCAGAGAAGAAAATCTGGCTTCAGATTCTACATTCTTAATTGTTCCTTTTATTGGGAATTATGATTAATATCTTTGTATGTAGCTCAGTTAGCCCAGGTATCTCTGAAGATCTCAAGCCCTGGGATTATCATACGTCTACGAAGTCTCTCTACTTAACAACTTACTATGGAAATCTCTGAATGTATAGGAAATATCTACAGGGCTGGAGCGATAGCACAGTGGGTAGGGCATTTGCCTTGATTGCGGCCGGCACAGGTTCGATTCCTACACCGCTCTCAGAGAGCCCGGCAAGATACTGAGAGTATCTTGCCCGTACAGCAAAACCTGTCAAGCTCCCCGTGACATATCTGATATGCCAAAAATAGTAACAACAAGTCTCACAATTTGTTGTGAGACATTACTGGTGCCTGCTCGAGCAGATAGATGAACAACGGGAGGACAGTGCTACAGTGCTACAATAGGAAATATCTAGGCCCTTCAGGTCCCAGGTCCCATGTCTTTGTAAGACTTTTTGTTTTAGTTTGGTTTTACTCCGGGGATCATATAGTGTCAGGGATCAAACCTGATCTCCTGTATTCAAAGCACGTACTCAGAGCCATAAAAGGAAAAGGGGGGTATGGAGCAATAGTACTTCGGGTAGGGTGTTTGTCTTGCATGTGGCTGACCCGGGTCAAATCCCTGGCATCCCATATGGTCCCCCAAGCACTGCCAGGAGTAATTCCTGAGTGTAATGCCAGGAGTAACCCATAAGTGATGCCGGGTGTGACCCAAAAAGCCAAAAAATAAAAATAAAAACAAAACAAAACAAAAAAACAAAATCAAAGCATATGCTCAGACCATTGAGTTATCCTTCCTCCCCACCTTTTTTCTGTTTTGGACGTAGGCACCACACCTGATGTTTCTCAGGGGACCATATGTAGTACCACGATCATCCAGAATGTCACTGTCATTGTCCTCCCATTGTTCATTGATTTGCTCGAGCGCGCCCAGTAACATCTCCATTTTGACAATTGTTACTGTGTTTGGCATATTGAATACGTCACAGGTAGCTTGCCAGGCATTGCCGTGTGGGCGAGATACTCTCTGTAGCTTGCTGGGCTCTCCGAGAGGGGCGGAGGAATCGAACCCGGGTTGGCCGCGTGCAAGGCAAACGCCCTACCCACTGTGCTATCGCTCCAGCCCATCCAGAATGTACTGCTTGCAAAATGAATGTTTTCAACCACTGTGTCATCTCTGCAGCCGTGCGGGAATTTCTTTTAGTTTTGGGGGCCACACCCATAAGTGCTCAGGGCTATTCCTGGGCTCAGTGCTCAATGATTACTCCTGGAAGTACTTAAGGGACCATACGTAATGTCAGGAATTGAATCCTGGGTCAGCCATGTGCAAGGCAAGCTGTCAAATGGCGCTGGACCTATGTCTAGACATTTTAAAAAAATTTCAATACCCCCACCCCCAGCCCTGGCCAGGCCACTGCAACAACAACAAAGGAAAGAAATAAGATATAAACAAACTGTAGCACTGTCCTCCCGTTGTTCATGATTTGCTCGAGCGGGCACCAGTAATGTCTCACAACAAATTGTGAGATTTGTTGTTACTGTTTTTGGCATATCAAATATGTCACGGGTAGCTTGGCAGGCTTTGCCATGCGGGCGAGATACTCTTGGTAGCTTGCCGGCTCTCCGAGAGGGGCAGAGGAATCAAACTCTGGTATGCCACATGCAAGGCAAACACCCTACACGCTGTGCTATCATTCCAGTCCATATAAACAAACACACATACAATTTTCAGTTTTTTCCTCCCTTCCCTCTGTTGTTACTGGTATGTCCAGGGGTCATCCACTTGCTTCAGATGGTGTTTGCTGGGGTCGACATCAGGTCACAGTGCTTACACAGTGCTTGCCAGGGATGGGATGGCATTTAGATGCCAGAAGCAGGTCACACTCTTGTGGTGCTCACACAAGTAGTGGGGAAGAGATCACAGTCCTGGCCCTGGAGCTCACATCTTTTTATTTATTGATTGACTTATTTATTGAGGGAGGGACACACATGGCTGTGCTCAGAGGACCATATTCAGTGCTGGGGATGGAACCTGGGTTGGCCACTTGCAAGGCAAATACCCTACCCGTTGTACTGTCATTCTGACCCCCTCACTCATCTTTTTAAACTATGCTCACCAGGGGTCCCACGTTTTTGTTGTGGTGTGACTCGGGTTCAGACATAGAACAGCAGCATTGCCAGGTCACATCTGTGCATTGGTACAGACTAGGACTAAGATCAAGTCAGGACTTGCAAGCTCACAAGGCAGGATCGTTAGCCACTGAGCCATCTCCCGGACCCCTTAGGAGAATTTTTTGTACTTTGTTTTGTTTGGGGTTCACACTCATTGGTGCTCAGGGCCTACTCTCAATGGTGCCTGGGGACTAGGGGTCAAACCCCAGCCTCCACTATGCACATTCACTAACCCTTTACATTACCTTCCTGCCCCACCTTGTATTTTATTATTATTATTATTATTATTATTATTATTATTATTATTTGCTGGGGGTACACTTATGGGTTAGCCAAACCTGGCTCTGTGCTCAGGGATCACTCCTGGCAGGGGACCTTATGGGTGCTGGGGATTCAGCACACATCAGCTGCATGCAAGGTAAGCGCCTACATGAAGTATTCTTTTTTTTTTCTTTTTGGGTCACACCCAGCGATGCTCGGGGGTTACTCCTGGCTCATGCACTCGGGAATTACTCCTGGCGGTGCTCAGGGGACCATATGGGATGCTGGGAATCAAACCCATGTCGGCCATGTTGGCTGCGTGCAAGGCAAACGCCCTACATGCTGTGCTATTGCTCCAGCCCTACTTGAAGTATTCTATCTGTGCCCCCCTCCCCCCTCCCCCTGAGGTTTTTAAATGGAGGAACCCGTGAAATCAAAATAGTTGGAGAAATCTGAGTTGGAGTGCTCTTCTCTCCACTTATGATTGACCAAGTTCAGGAATCTGACATGTCCTGGATAACTACATTTACAAAGGCTAATGTTTGCCCTATATGTTGCCCAACTCAAACTGCTTATAGTCCCCCAGCCCTGCCAGGAATGATCCCTGAACACGGAGTCAGCAGTAGTCCCAAATCCATAATAAATTAGTTCTGGAATCTTTTTGGAGGCCAGCCTTTATTGAGAGAAGAATGTTTTTTGTTTTTTTGTTTTTACATATAATTTTTTTTTATTAGTGAAACACCAGGAGGTACAGTTGTAGACTTACAATTTTGTTGTACTTGGGTTTCAGAGAGAAGAATGTTTTAATACTGTATTCTCCATAAGAAATTCCTTCCAGGGGCTGGCACAATAGCACAACAGGTAGGGGATTTACCTTGAGCTTCTATTGCAGTCTTTAGGAACAAAGCTAAAGTGATGTCCTCAAACTGAACCCATCTCAAGGTGATTGACACTGTTCTAGGACGTAAGAATTCCTCAGAACTGCTGACACTAAATCCCTAAATTTTGGGAAGGCAGCATCTCAATTTACGGCGCTTCCCTCCGGATAATGTCCAGCGACACAAGCAAGGGGAATTTGATAGATGTAAGGCCTTGTTCCATGGGAATATTACCGGAGCCTGTAGGAAAGGATAATTCCGGACTGGAGTTTCAGATGGATGCCCTTTAAAAAAAAAAAATTTGCAGAGGGTTGAAGCTAAAATCCGGCTGGAGTTTGGTTCCCGTTTTCGTTTTCGATTGCTTTTTCCCAGGGGCCAGAACGGTAGTACCCACAAACAAAAATAAACATTTTTTCCCCCAGATCTGTCGCTCTCATGTATCTGAAATCACAGGAAATGCCAGTTCCCCCCCCCGCCCCCCAAAAGAACTTTTTTGGTGGAGGGCAATACAGTCAGAGATAGACAAGTATAAAAGAACACCGCAGAAAGGGGGCCTGGTCTAAGAATCGTGGGGAATATCCAGTATTTGTTACCAACACTGCGCTTTGGACATCATTCTCGGTTTGGGGTTGGTTTGGGGCCGCGCCCGGCGGTGCTCAGGGAAAACAGGGGTGCCCAGGATCACACCCAAGTCGCCATGAGCTCCGGCCCCCTCATTCTAGATTCTAAAATTCTAAAGCTAGAGTTAAGAGCAGCATTACAGTTCTGCTTCTCCCACGCCGCTTACGGAAGCCTAAAGAAAAAAAAAAAAAAAAAAAAAAAAAGATGGCTTTTAAAAGGACATCAAGGAGTGCGAGGCCCTGAACCCGTTTGTCCTTCTCGGCGGCCCGTAACTTTCCGCCACCGCGGTTCACGTAGCCGCTTACGTCACACGCCTCTCACGGAAGTCTCTGTACCTGGCTCCTTCTGATTGGCTGAGAGGACTCCAGCCTCCCTCCTGATTGGCTGAGGCGACCCCAGCCTCCCTTCTGATTGGAGGTGGCGCCGCGTGCTCGGCGCCGTAGGGTTCGGTTGAGCCTGAAGCGCGGGGGAGAATTGGGGAAACAGGAATTTCCCGCGGAACTGACGGCGCTTGCTCTACCCCTACTCGTTTTAATTCCGGGCACTCCAAAATATCCGCCATGGAGAAATCTTGGTAATTACCCAATCCCTATAAGCATCCCAGGAACACATGTGACCTTTGCTCTGATCCCTCCTTTCCGTGCGGGGGAGAATTCTGGGTAATTTATTGCTGATTTCCACACCCCCCCAGAGAATTCTGGGTAACTAGCCATTTCCATCGAGACCCTCCCCCCGCCCCCAATTGTGGGGAACTGACCATTCTCTTGCCTAGAGAATTCTGGGTAACTCTGCAGAGGATGCTGGGAAACTGTCTTACCCTATTTCCCTCACCTCTCAACTCCACCTCACCCCTGTTCTTGGAAACAAGTACCGTAGCCCCCTCTACCTAATTCCTAAACCCACAGTTGCTGCTCTTTCCACCAATAGTTCAGTGGAAGTAAACCAGGCAAATGAGCGTGAGTAGACCTGAAGTGAAAAGGAGTCAAGGGTTAGGTTAGTGTGGTGGTGGGGAGTAGGGAGGGCTGGAGTTGGAGGAAGGGACAGCACTTCTCCCTCCCGCCCTTTCCCTCACCCGTCCCCTGTCCTACCTGCTTCAGCCCTGTAGGCATTCTCGCCTCGCCTGCCTGCCTCATCTTCCTCTTACCCAAGGAACCTGTAATACACTGAGTACAAGTATTTGGGCCACGCCTGACGGACTTCCTTGTTTCCCTTTGCAGGCCAGGATGTCCGTTCTAGGCCCACTGGTGCTGTCCTGCTGAAAGTTGGGTGAGGCATCTTAAAGGGAGGGTGTGACTCAGTCTGATCTGCAGCCTCCATCATCATGAACTTCGAGGGTCTGGACCCTGGACTGGCAGAATATGCCCCGGCCATGCATTCTGCCCTGGACCCCGTCCTGGATGCCCACCTGAACCCAAGTCTGCTGCAGAATGTGGACATGGACCCGGAGGGAGTGGCCTTGGAGGCTCTTCCTGTTCAGGAATCAGTACACATAATGGAAGGTGTCTACTCTGAATTGCACAGTGTGGTGGCAGAAGTGGGCGTGCCTGTCTCCGTCTCCCACTTTGACTTGCACGAGGAGATGCTGTGGGTGGGAAGCCATGGGGTAAGAACTGCATCTCTTTCTATGCACCCGAGAGATGGCTGGAGTGCATGCTTTGTATGCCGGAGGCCTGTGTTCGGTTCCCAGTCACTGCATGTTGCCCCGAGCATTACTGGGAGTGATCCCTGAGAGGCTGTGGGTATGGACCCAAACAAAAACAAGGAAAGGATTGGACCTCTTTGTAAGGACTGAAAGGAGATGTTGGAAAGCGTTTTTCTAGTTTTAGTTCCAGGAAAACTGATTTGCTGGGACCAATAATTGAGTTAAGTTAGCTCAGTTTGTAAATGTCGTGGAGAGGAGAGAATTGGAGAGAAAAAGAGAGTCAGAGGATCCAGGGATGCCTTGCCTTACTGGAATCTCCTGTTGTGTGCTTTGGTTAGGTTTTGGCAAGAGTACCCATCAGGGAGCCAAGGAGATGGATTGTGGACGGGATACATGCTTTCGATCCCTGGCACTGCCTGGTTCACTGAGCACTGCCAGGAGTGACCCTTGACAACCACTAAGACCCCCTCAAAAATTATGTATACCATAAGTTATTCTGTAGTTATCCAAATACAATCTCTAATGCTCGTCCTCTATTTTTTGTTCTTATATTTGATATATATGCCTGCATATCTTTTGTGGAATAGTTTTGTCTTCTGGTTTGTTTATTTCATGAGGGGCCACATCCAGAACTGCTTTGAGGGCTAATTCCTGATTCTGCTCTCAGGATCACTGGGGGTGGGCCTCGGGGGAATGTATGTGATACCAGGTATCAAACCCAGACCAGTTCTGTGCTAGGCAAGTACACTATCCACTGTACTATTGCACTGGCCCTTTCTGATTCATTTTTTGAATGTCTCTGAGAGTTATTATTGGTGTCTTTTTTTTTCTTTTTGGGTCACACCCAACAATGCTCAGGAGTCACTCCTGGCTCTGCACTCAGGAATTACTCCAGGCGGTGCTTGGGGAACCATATGGGATGCCAGGGATTGAACCCAGGTTGGCCGCATGCAAGGCAAACGCCCTACCCGCTGTGCTATCGCTCCGGCCCCTGTTATTGGTGTCTTTTATCTTTATGTTTGGGAGGGGGCCTCTCATGGCTGTGTTCAGGGCCCACGCAACTGACAGTACTTGAGGGAATCGTGCAGCAACAGTCACATGCAAGTACTTTATGTACTATCTCTTTAGCCCTATTTTTGTTTTTTTTTTTCCTGGCCACATCTGGCAGTACTAGGCTGCTACTCTCAGCTAGGTGCTCAGGGGGCCATTCAGTGCTGAGGACTGAACTCAGGGCTTCTGTATATGCAAAGTATGTTATTATTTTGGTGCTTATTTGCAGAGTCATGTGTGACCCAAACCTTCCCATCCCCTTATTTTATTTTTTTGGAGAAAGATAGTTTTTCTTGAATGAATAGATAATTTTCTTGAATAAATAATTGGAAAGATGTGGGGAGAGGGCCTGGAGAAATAGTACAGCGGGTAGGGCAGCTTGCCTTACATGAGACCTTCCTGGGTTTGATCCCAGGCACCCCATATGGTCCCCCAAGCTGCCAGGAGTGAACTCTGAGTGCAGAACCAGGAATAAGTTCTAAAACAGACAAAATGGACAGGACAGGAGTCTGATCAGTTTTTCAGATTCTTCTAGGCTTTTTGGGTTTGTTTTTGTTCCTAAGCCTCATTTGGCTGTGCTCAGGGTTTACTCCTGGCTCTGTGCTCAGGGATTGCTCCTGGTGAGACCTTTGAGACCGTATGTGGTACCAGGGATCAAATCAAGATTGGCCATATGCAAGGCAAGCACCCTACCCACAGTACTATTGTTCTAGTCCCTATGAAACAAAACTTGATTTTATTTATTTTTTATGCTTTTTGGATCACACTCAGCGATGCACAGGGGTTACTCTTGGCTCTGCACTCAGGAATTACTCCTGGTGGTGCTTGGGGGACCATATGGGATGCTGGGAATCAAACTCCGGTCATCCGCGTGCAAGGCAAATGTCCTACCCGCTGTGCCATCACTCCAGCGCCCAGAACTTTAAAATAAAAAATAAGGCTTGACTGTGGATATAAGCTTGCCAGTGACAAATTGGATTCACTCCTGACGTTTAGAACACGGTTCTAATGAACAGAACCCTTTCCTGTTCGGCTGTCACTGTGAAGATAAAATGATGTATAGCTTTGTAAAGCATTCGCCGAGCATAAGATAATATTGCTGGAAGTGAAAAATGACTGGAGTTCATGCCCAATTCAACCAGCTTAATCAATGGCTGAATAAATAGCAGTACTCCTACATTAAAAAAGAAAGACAAGACATGAAAAATGTCACGATTACCAGTGTCTTTATCCCTGATCCTGACCGGTCCCTTGCCTTACTTAGTCACTGCGAGCCAGAAAGACCAGGAAAGAGTTGAGACAAACCGAACAACGTGCTGTCCCTGACCTGCATCGCAGATGGCTCTGCCCCTGCACTCAGGGTGTTTGTCATCTTTTTTGTCCCCTCCAGGGTCACGCCACTTCATTTTTTGGCCCAACCTTGGAGCGCTACTCATCCTTTCAGGTCAATGGCAGCGATGACATCCGGCAGATCCAGAGCCTGGAAAATGGGATCCTTTTCCTCACCAAGAACAACCTCAAGTACATGGCCCGCGGTGGCCTCATTATATTTGATTACCTGTAAGTGGCTTCTCAGGTCTGGATGGGGTTTTCCTCTTGGGGTTCCATACAGACTAGAAAGCCAAAGGACCGGAGGCTTCCGAGAGCCTGGCCCCTCAAGCTCAACCGTCCCCCACAGGCTGGAGGAGAGTGAAGACATGCACAGTCTCCTGCTGACTGACAGCAGCACGCTGCTTGTTGGCGGGCTGCAGAGCCACATAGTGGAGATTGACCTGAACACTGTCCAGGAGACCCAGAAGGTAGAACTTCGGGCAGGAAAGACCCGCGCAGGGCCTGCGGTCATTGGGGAGGGGGCGAGGCATGTGACCTTTCTGTTCCTCTGGGCTGTGGGGAGAATTGTCCCCACCACTGTCTTCTGCTTCCCTCCCCAGTATGCAGTGGAGACACCTGGAGTCACCATCATGAGACAGACGAATCGCTTCTTCTTTTGTGGCCACACTTCTGGCAAGGTGGCTAAGTTCCTTCCTGCCGCCCGCGGCGGGGCCCGGTCTCAGCCGATCCGGGACTGGACTCTGCCTTTCCCTGGGTTCTGAGGCTGCACTGGGAGGGAGAGGGCAGTGACTGGAGTTCCTGCCCAGTTGTGTTCTTCTCTGAGGTTACCTTTCAGCCTCTTGCTTTCTGTTGGAACCAGCCCCTTAGAAGTAAAGTGTCAGCGCTGGCCTTCTTGGGGGTCCTTTGCAGCTCTTCGCTTCCTCTGGCCTTCTCTGTCTTTGGCGCTTTCCCTTTTCTCTTTCTCGCTCTTTCTTTCCTCTGGCCTTGACTTGCCCGTCTCCTAAAGTCTTTGTCCTTCTGGTCGGGGCCTCCCAGGGGACCGTAAATGTCAGGTACTCTCCTTGATGACCGCACTGGCATGTGACAGGGTTATCTTTTCTCTTTTCGCCAGGTTTCCCTGAGAGACCTTCGTACTTTTAAAGCCGAGCACGAGTTCGACGCCTTCTCAGGGAGTCTGTCAGATTTCGACGTGCACGGCAACCTGTTGGCCGCCTGCGGCTTCTCCAGCCGCCTCACTGGCCTGGCCTGTGACCGTTTCCTCAAGGTGTATGATTTGCGCATGATGCGTGCCATCACTCCTCTTCAAGTGCACGTGGACCCTGCCTTCTTGCGTTTCATTCCTACTTACACGTCTCGTCTCGCCATCATCTCCCAGTCAGGTCAGAAGGGAGATGTAGGGGCCAGAGCGAGAGCACAGCGAGTAGGGTAGCCCTTGCCTTGCACGCAGCCTGGCGCCCCGGATGGACCCCTAAGCCCACCAGGGGTAATCTCCGAGCACTCGGTGAGCAAGCTCTGAGCATCTGTTGGGTGTGGCCCAAAAACCAAATGAAAAAAGAAAAGCTAAGGGAGATGTAGACAGGGCATGAGGGTTTGATGAGTAAAGGGGAACTAGGCACCAAAAAAAAAAAAATACTCCTATAAAGTTGTCAGTGGAGGGGTAGGGGCTGGAGAATGACTTTTCAGTGAGATCATAGGGTTTTACTAGGGTTAGCCAGTGATGCTGGCATGTTTTCCCCTGGGTGAGAAGAACAGAAAAAAGTAAAGGTGGAGCAGAATGATGATAGAACTGCCCTTTTCTACGCAGCAGACCTCCCTGTGGCTCATGGGAAGGAATCGGGTGGTATTCTCTCTCTCTGTGTGCGTCTGGGGGTTGTCTTTCCTTGAAACAAAGGGAAGAAAATAAGGCCCTAAAATGATTGCTCCCTTTCACCCTTTTTTTTTCTTTTTGGGTCACACACGGTAATGCTCAGGGGTTACACCTGTGTCTGCCTTCAGGAATTACTCCTGGCAGTGCTCAGGGAACCATATGGGGTGCCAGGGATCAAACGCCAGACCCGCTGTCCTATCGCTCCAGCCCCAGGATTACACCCTTTTGCCTTGTCCTCATTGAACTTTTTCCTCCCTCCTAGGACAGTGCCAGTTTTGTGAGCCCACAGGCCTGGCCAACCCAGCAGACATCTTTCATGTGAATCCTGTGGGGCCGCTGCTCATGACGTTTGATGTGTCAGCCAGCAAGCAAGCCCTGGCCTTTGGGGACTCCGAGGGCTGTGTGCACCTCTGGACTGATTCCCCAGAGCCCTCCTTCAACCCTTACTCCCGGGAGACCGAGTTTGCTTTGCCCTGTCTGGTGGACTCGCTGCCTCCTCTGGACTGGAGTCAGGACCTGCTGCCTCTGTCCCTTATCCCTGTCCCGCTCACCACGGAAACGCTCCTCTCTGACTGGCCTGCTGCCAACTCTGCTCCAGCTCCTAGGTTGTACCTCGCTTCAGGGCCAGAAGGAGGGAGTGGGTTGGACAGAGATGCTCAGATTCTACATCTTTCCTGACTTTTGTCTGCCTTAGGTTCCCCTCTCCTCCCCCACCAGCCCCCCGCCCCCCTCCCGCTGATTGGAGATTGAATGTACCAACACCACAGACAAACCAACCCTCGCATTATCGCATTATGCTGTCTTGTAGACGAGCGCCTCCCGTGGATGCAGAGATTCTGCGAACCATGAAGAAAGTGGGCTTCATTGGCTATGCACCCAACCCCCGTACCAGGCTGCGCAATCAGGTGGGCTCAGGGGAGAGAGAGTGTCCCCGTCCCCAGCCATCTGACATTTGTCCTGGCTTATTCCTTTACCAGACCCAAGTCTGTTTTCAGTCAGTTGGCAAAGATTTCCTGAGGCCCAGATGTTCAAGAATTCCTGGTAGCCATTAGTAGGAATTCAGAGACAGAAAAATAGGATTCTTGGGGCCCGAGCAATAGTACAGTGGGTAAGGTGCTTGCTTTGCACATGACTGACCTGGGTTCAATCCCTAGCACCCCATATGGTCTCCCTGGTATTGGCTGCCAGATGTGGCCCAAAAACCAAAAGAAGCAAAAGTAAAATCTTTTTTTTTTTTTTTTTTTTGGTGGTGGTGGTTGTGCTATACAACGCTTGGGGATTTGGGGATCCTTCCATATATGTATGGAGAACCAGGCTGGGCCAGGACTTGCCCCATGGTCTCATGCACTCAGCCCAGATCTATCTCTCTGGCTCGAGGGTGCTTGCTCTTAATTCAGTATTTTGGGGAAAGAGAGTACAGTGGGTAGAGCACACGACCAACCCAGCTTTGATTCCCAGCATCCCAGGTGGTTCATTTAGCCTGCCAGGAGTGATCCCTGAGTATTGCCAGGTGTGATCCAAAAACCAAAGACAAAAACAAAAAAATTAAGAACTGTCTGTTGGGGTAAAGGTGGGGAAAGCGAAGCTGTTCGCCTGCCTTTCAAAACTCCAGATCCCGTACCGACTCAAGGAGTCAGACAGCGAATTTGACAGTGTCAGCCAGGTCACAGAGTCACCGATTGGACGGGAAGAGGAACCGCATCTCCACATGGTTTCTAAGAAGTACCGCAAGGTACCTGGGTCCCTGGGAAGAAATCCTCTGGGAGGCAGGGAAGGGTTCCTGGAGAAGGGGGTCACAGGAGGAAACCTCGTTTGAAGGACACAGTTGAGAGTCCTGGACTCAAGAGGAAGGGTACGGCCACTGGGAGGATTTAGGGGGGCTCCAAGGATACCTACTCACTCAGACTCTTTCTGCTTCAGGTTACTATCAAGTACTCCAAGCTAGGGCTGGAGGATTTTGACTTCAAACACTACAATAAGACCTTATTTGCTGGCTTAGAGCCCCACATTCCCAATGCCTACTGTAACTGCATGATCCAGGTAAGAGCAGTGTTCCTGCATCTTCAGTGTGTTCACAACCCTGCTCATTGTCTGTCACCCCAAGCTGCTTTATCACCTCTGCCTTGCTTTTTTTTTTTTCCGCAGAGGGGAGGGGGGCACACCCTGCAGTGTTCAGGGCTTAGTTCTGATTCTGCACTCAGGAATCGTTCCTGACGGTGCTCAGGGGACTGTATGGGATGTTGGGGATCGAAGCCCAGTTGGCATGAGCAAGCAGACACCCTACTACCTTCCTTTCTTTCCCTCGTGGCCTTCAGGTCTCCTCTGTGAGTTCCACAAAGCAGTAGGCTCGCACTTTGTACTTCTCTCTGCTTTCCTCTCCTCCCCCCTCCTTCCCTTTTGCCCTCTTTCCTTTTTCCTTCCTTCCTCCCTTCTTCCTTCCTTCTCTTTTCTTTCTTCTTCCTCCCTTTCCCCCTTCCTGTACACCCAGCTGTGCTCAGGAATTACTCCCAGCTTTGCACTCAGGGACCATTCCTGGCAGGCTCAGGGTACCACAGAGAATGCACCTTGCCCACTGTACTATCTCTCTGGCCTAGTGCTGTGTATTTTCTGGTTTGTTTATTTTTGAGTTTGGGGCCACATCCGGCTGCGCTCAGGGTTACTCCTGGCTCTGCACTCAGGAATTACTCCTGGTGGTGCTCAGGGGACCATGTGGGATGCCAAGAGTCAAACCCAGGTCAGCTGTGTACGAAGCAAGTGTCCTAGCCACTGTAGTATCTCTTTATTTATTTGTTTGTTTGTTTTTGTTTTTTTTTTTGCTTTTTGGGTCACACCTGGCGATGCACAGGGGTTACTCCTGGTTCTGCACTCAGGAATTATCCCTCGCGGTGCTCAGGGGACCATACGGGATGCTGGGAATCGAACCCGGGTCGGCCGCGTGCAAGGCAGACGCCCTACCCGCTGTGCTATTGCTCCAGCCATACTATCTCTTTAGCCCTGTACTCTGTACTTTCTACCAGCTCACTTACCCTTCCCCCCATCCCTCTCCCCCTCCCCAAACCAGTCACCCACATCAGTTCCCCTGCTCGCTCTCTCTCCTCCAGGTGCTCTATTTCCTGGAGCCCGTGCGCTGTCTAATCCAGAACCACCTCTGCCAGAAGGAGTTCTGCCTGGCGTGTGAGCTGGGCTTTCTTTTCCACATGTTGGACCTCTCTCGAGGTGACCCATGTCAGGTCAGTGCCAGAGGCCTGGGAGAGTTGAAAGGAGAAGGGAGGTGGCCAGTCGGCAGGGCAAATGGCCACAAGGAGGAGACCTTCTCCAGCACTGTGCTTCCTGGATTGCAGGGCAGTAATTTCCTTCGGGCCTTCCGCACCATTCCTGAGGCCTCGGCCCTGGGTCTGATCCTGGCCGACTCCGATGAGGCTTCAGGCAAGGGCAACCTGGCCAGACTCATTCAGAGGTGGAACCGCTTCATCCTCACTCAGCTGCATCAGGACATGCAGGAGCTGGAAGTGCCTCAGGCTTATCGGGGTGCCGGAGGCAGGTATGGGATGGGGGGCCGGAGGAGTCAGAGCCCCCCTGCCCGGCCACTGCAAGTCCCCCTCCGCGTGCATCGATAGCCCTCTCTGCTCTCAGCAGCTTCTGCTCCTCCGGGGACTCCGTCATCGGACAACTGTTCAGTTGTGAGATGGAGAACTGCAGCTTGTGCCGCTGTGGCAGTGAGACCGTGCGCGCCTCATCCACCCTGCTCTTCACCCTCTCCTACCCTGACGGTGTGCCTGGAGACTGGGCCAAGGGCGGGGGCGGGGGGGGGGAACGAGAGGGACGGAGGTCCGGGAACCGTGGGTAGGAGGAGAACTGGCTTCCGTCATCCGCAGATAAAGCCGGGAAGAACTGTGACTTCGCTCAGGTGCTGAAACGAAGCATCTGCTTGGAGCAGAATACCCAGGCGTGGTGTGACAACTGTGAAAAGTACCAGCCCACGGTGAGTGGCCCGGGGCACGGAACTCGAGTGCTGATCTGCTGGCAGCTCGGCCCTGGGGCCAGTGAGGTCAGCACGAAGAACCCCAGCTGGACGAGGCAGACGCGGATTTAACTGGCGCTTTTCCGGTGTCCTCCCGGTAACCCCTGCTCACTTCTTCCTCTTAGATTCAGACCCGCAACATTCGCCACCTGCCAGATATTCTCGTCATCAATTGTGAGGTGAACAGCCTGAAAGAAGCTGATTTCTGGAGGATGCAGGCTGATGTAAGGACCGTGTGTGTTTTCTCCCCTCCTTCTTTCCGCGTGCCACCAAGGAGCCTCAGGAATTCTAGATCGTCTGCTTTTTGCTCAGGTTGCCTTCAAGATGGCCATAAAGAAGCACAGTGGGGAAATGTCCAAGAATAAGGAGTTTGCTCTAGCTGATTGGTAGGTACTACCTTGGGGAATCGCCGGAGGATTCGAGCAGATAGTGGTGCCTTTTGCCACTGGGTCTGGATCTCCTGGGAACAAGTTTCTGGCCTTCCGCTCCGATAGGAAGGAACTTGGGGGTCCGGAGGGCCTGCTGGTGTGCCCTTCCCTCGAGGAGCTCAAGAGCGTGTGGCTTCCGTTCTCCATTCGGATGAAGATGACCAAGAACAAAGGGCTGGACGTTTGCAACTGGACTGATGAGGATGAGATTCAGGTTGTTGCAAGTCTGGGAAGAGGGAGAGAAGGTTGGGCGGCAGCAGGGCAGGGGGGAAGGTGGACCTTAGTAGGTGGGGGGAAACACGGGGAAACAAGGCTCAGTTTTAAAACACTTGTGGGCTTTTCCACAGTGACTCAGTTCAGTCCTGGAAGCCATAGATGGACTAGGATGGAGCTAACCCACCCTGGTTCCCCCCAGCCCTCCACCCCCACTGCCTGCACCCCCTCCCCATGCCCCCGCCTTCCCGTCCTTAAACTGAGCCTAGCAGCCTGGGTACCCCTCACAGTGGGGCCCGGCCAGGGCGGAGGAGGAGCCTGGTGTCTTTGTGTATGACCTGATGGCTACTGTGGTACACATCCTGGACTCGCGCACAGGGGGCAGCCTGGTGGCTCACATCCGAGTCGGAGAGACCTACCACCAGCGCAAGGAGGTGAGCGGCGTGGCACCCCGGGTCTTTCCCCATCTCGAGGGTCAACGCAGTCACTTTGGCCTCTGCCTCCGCCTTGTCTCCACAGGGGGTAACCCACCAGCAGTGGTACCTTTTCAATGACTTTCTTATCGAGCCTATTGATAAGGTTAGTTGTAACTTTTAACATTCCCCCCCTCACAACTGCTTCCCCCTCCCCCATTCTACACCCCACCCCCGCCCCCGCATCCTCATTCTTGAAGCCCTGGAGAATGCCAGGCAGACTGGGAATGCGAGGATGGGTACTCAGAAATAAAAATCTTTAGCAGCGCTAATGGGAGCTCCTGAGTCCTGTCTGCTGTTCTGACCTGGGCCAAAAGGACAGACATTTGGAAGTGCTCATTGTTTTTTTTGTTTGTTTGTTTGTTTTTGATAGCATGAGGCTGTGCAGTTTGACATGAGCTGGAAAGTGCCTGCTATCTTGTATTATGTCAAGAGAAACCTTAATTCCAAATACAACCTGAACAGTAAGTGTTACTGCCACACCCAGGAGTACAGGCAGCTTATGTTATTTGTTTGTTTGCTTATTTTGGCCCCAGGTCACACTCAGAAGTACTCAGGGATCACTCCTGGCAGGGCTCAGGGGGCCATATGCTTTGCCGGGTATCCAACTTGGGTCAGCTGTGTGCAAGGCAAGAATCTTACCCACCGTACTTTGTCCAGCCCCTGTTTAGTTTTTTTACTTTGGTTTCTGGGCCACACCCAGCACTGCTCAGGGGCTACTTCTGGCTCAGTGCTAGGGGACCCTGTGGCACTGGGGATCAAACCCGACCTTTCCCTGGCAAAGCATGCACTGACTCCTTTTAATTATCTCTCCAGTCCCTTTTTCTTAAAAGTGTGTGTGTGTGTGTGTGTGTGTGTGTGTGTGTACACGCACCCGTGTGCATATATGTGTTTGGTTCCAGAGATCAAACACAGGACCTCATGGGACCAGAGATATTATAATGGGTGAGACATTCGCCTTGTATGCAGTCAATCCGGGTTCAATCTCCAGCACCCATATGGTCACTTGAGCCCCGCCAAGAGTGATACCTGAGTGCACTACCAGGAGTAAGCCCTGAGCATCACCAGGTGTACCCCAACCCCCCCCCAAAAAAAAACCCCTAATGTTAACATTTCCAGGGATACTAGAACAATTACTGCTGACCAGTTCTTAAAACTGACTTACTACTTAAAACTTACTACTGACTACTGACCAGTTCTTAAAAGTTGGAGAGACTAGAGAGAGAACACTGAGTAGGGCACTTGCCTTGCACATGGCTGACCTGGGTTTGAGCTCTGGCACCCCATATGTCCCCAAGCCTACCAGGAGTGATCCCTGAATACAGAGCCAGGAATAAGCCCTGAGTACTGCCAGGTGTGGCCCCAAAACAAAAAAGCATTAAAAAAATGTTGAAGATCCTGAGGATTTAATGGGAAAGAAGGGGTGAAGGAAGAGTTAGCTCACAATGGCTATGGGTATGATTTTAAGTTTAAGCTTAATTATTAAAAAATTTTGGTTTTGCACCACATGTGGCAGTGCTTAGAGGAGACTCCAACTCATGCCCAGGGGACCATGACCTCAGGGTTCCTCATTCTGAGCATGTGTTCCAGCCCTTCCAGTCATCTTCTAGGCCAAATGTAATCATTCTTGTTTGGTTTTGGTTCGGGGGGGGGGGGGGGGCCCACACCCAAACACCTCTGATTTGGTGCCAAGGGACCATGTGGTGATGGGGGTTGGGCCTGGGCCTCCTACACCCTTTGAGTCATCTCCTCAGCCCAAGTATGATCAGCTTATATATCAAGTGAACATTTCTTATTTTGAAGATGAACTCTTATTAAGCCCCTTTTGGTCATCACTTTAAACCACCATTTCTGTGAAGTCCTATTTATTTTGAATTTGGGGAGCCACACCTAGCAGTGCTCAGAGGCCACTCCTGGTGGTGCACAGGGGACCATGTGGTGCCTGCCAGACCCCAGCTTCCTGAATACAACATTTGCCATCATCCAATGACTTGATTTCTGAGGGACCATACTTAGGCTTGTTCTTTGACACCATGGCCTCCTCTCTGGTCACTTCCCCATCCTCAAGTCATCTCTCTTCTGGATTCCCCCTTTTTGCAGTCAAGAACCCTATTGAGGCAAGTGTCCTGTTGGCCGAAGCCTCTCTAGCACGGAAGCAGAGGAAAACACATACTACCTTCATTCCACTGATGCTGAATGAAATGCCACAAGTTGGGGACCTGGTGGGCCTAGATGCTGAGTTTGTCACCCTGAATGAGGTAACCGAAAACGGGTTGGGTGTTGCTGTGGGACTGAGGGTGTCGGATTCCTCGGGATCTCTCTGGCTTCTGCGTGCACTCTTCTGTGTAGGAGGAAGCCGAGTTGCGCAGTGATGGCACCAAGTCCACCATCAAACCTAGCCAGATGTCAGTAGCGAGGATCACCTGTGTTCGGGGCCAGGGGCCCAATGAGGGCATCCCCTTCATTGATGACTACATCTCCACCCAGGAGCAGGTATCAGGAGAAGGAGACCCCAGTGTGACCAGACCCAGTGCAAACTCGAGAACCCAGGAAGGGGCGCAGCTTCTTGGGTCCTGCATGTCCTTTTCTCTGTCCTTAGGTGGTGGATTACTTGACTCAGTACTCGGGGATAAAGCCAGGAGACCTTGATGCCAAGATTTCCTCGAAGCACCTCACGACACTCAAGTCTACCTACTTAAAGCTTCGCTTTCTCATAGACATTGGAGTCAAATTTGTGGGTCACGGTCTGCAGAAGGACTTTCGAGTCATCAACCTCATGGTTTGGGCCAGGCTCTTTTTTCAGAGTCTTCTTTGAATGTGGGCCCCCCCAGGGTTTACATTATGCCCTTAGAGAATAGGAAATGATGGGTGTCCTGCCTTCATTCTCTTACCCTTTATCCCTACCAGGTGCCCAAGGACCAAGTCCTGGACACTGTGTATCTGTTTCACATGCCCCGAAAACGAATGATTTCATTGCGATTCCTTGCTTGGTACTTTCTCGGTGAGTTTCTCTGCCTTTCATGCCTTTGTGGAATAGGGTTTGAAGGGGCTTTGGAAGTAAGAGGACTTTGAGAGTTAGTGGTAAGAGATACTAGGAATGGGAGATAACTTAAAGGGCAGGCCCAAGGCCAGTCCCTCGCACTGTATGATCCGCTAGCACCTGATGGTGTAGTTCAGGAGATCTCCCTCCAAATAAATGTGAGATTCTGCTAATGCCATAAATAAAGGGGTGGGGCATGGACAGATAAAGCAGCAGAGAAGTGAGTACAATGGGTAAGGCACTTGCAGACCCGGGTTCGGTCCTTAGCACCAAATATAGTCCCCCAGGGGCCAGTGATAGTACAGCGGGTAGAGCATTTGCCTTGCACACTGTTGACTCAGGTTCGATCCCTGGCATTCCATATGACCCTCGAGCCCCACCAGGAGTGATTCCTAAGCACAGAGCCAGGAATAAGTCCTAAGCACTGCTGGGTGTGACCCAAGAACAAAAAAATAAATATATGATTCCCCAAGTCTCACCAGGAGTAACCCCCAGAGCACAGAGCCAGGAATTAGTTCAGAGCAGTGCTGGGTATGGCCAAAAATTAAAACATACAAAAAAGGAAAAAAAGAAAAACCCATACATACAGTCAGAATGAATTGCTTTAGCTCAGTCTTCCTTCTGTGTGCAAGGGATGGTTTGGCTCTTTCCCTTAGGGCAGTCAGGACTCTGTTATTTATTGGGAGTTGAGGGTGTGGGTAGAATGTTTTTAACTTGCTTTTGCTAGATTCTAAATTATTATACTTCTTGGGGCCAAAGCAATAGTACAATGAGTGGGTAGACAGTTGGCTTGCACGCAGCCAGCACTCAGCCATCTGGTTCAATCCCCAGCATCCCTTATGGCCCCTCGAGAACTGTCAAGAGTAGTTCCTGGGGCTGGAGAGATAGCACAGCAGGTAGGGCGTTTGCCTTGCATGCAGCCAACCTGGGTTCGATTCCCAGCATCCCATATGGTCCCCCGAGCACTGCCTGGAGTAATACCTGAGTGCGCAAACCAGGAGTAACCCCTGTGCATCGCTGGGTGTGACCCAAAAAGAAAAAAAAAAAAGAGTAGTTCCTGAATACAGAGCCAGGAGTAACCCATGAGTATCACCGAGTGTGGCCCAAGAAGCAAAACACAAACCCCAAACGGTTCCGTTTCTTCCTTCAGACTTGAAGATTCAAGGGGAGACCCATGACAGTATTGAGGATGCCCGCACAGCCCTTCAGCTCTATCGAAAGTATCTGGAGCTGAGCAAAAATGGCACCGAGCTCGAGTCCTTCCACAAAGTGCTCAAGGGCCTTTATGAGAAGGGCCGGAAGATGGACTGGAAGGTGCCTGAGCCCGAGGGTCAAACAAGTCCCAAGAGTAAGGCCTGGGATGGGACACGGGAAACTGGACTAGGTGGGTTTTGACTGCATTTATGAAAATTAGACCTATCATAATAATGATGATGATGATCTTGATTAATAACAGTGTAGTCCCTATTTTATCACAGCTTACAAAGTACTTAATTTCGCAAAATTCAGTGAGATATATCTTCTTATTGGTTCTATTTTCTATTAACCTCCTTATGCTTAATTCTAAAAAAAATTGAAACAGGTCTGTGTCCTTGTCTCCATTGTAACTTTTTTCTTCCTAAGTAGGAAGCCAGGGATGTGACCCAGTAGAAAAACTCATGTCTTGGGGCAGGAGCAATAGTTCTGTAGGGAAGGCACTTGCCTTGCATGCAGCCAACCCTGGTTCGATCCCTGGCATCCTATATGGTTCCGAGCCTGCCAGGAGCGATTCCTTAGTGCAAAGCCAGGAGTAACCCTTAGCATGGATGGGTGTGGTGCCCCCACCCACCCCCCCCCCCCAAAAAAAAGAAAAAAATGCATGTCTGGGACAGTAAAGAAAAAAAAAGGGGCTGGAGAAAGAGTTCAAGTGGGCTAATAAGCAGATGGTTTGCATGTAAAAGCAGGGGAGGCAGAATTTGATTACTAACTCTGCATGGTTCCCCAAGCACTGGCAGGTGTGGTTCAGAAACGAAACTATGCCAGGTGTTTTTCCTACACTCATTTTTTGGTTGTTTTTGGGCCACACCTGGTGTGGCAATGGTCAGGGATTACTCCTGCCTCTGCACTCTAAAATCATTCCTGGCAGCACTCTGGCACTTTTTTCTGCACTCAGTTTTATTCATTTAAAATACTTTTTTTTTCCTGCACTCATTTTAAAGATCATGCTTCTGTTTGTTCCTTGAAAGTCATGCTTTTAGAAAAGATGTCATGTTTGAGGCCAGAGAGATAGTACAGCAGGTAGGCCTTTTGCCGGACACACAGTCCACCCAGGTTCAATCCCCGAGCACTGCCAAAAGTATCTCCTGAGTGGAGTCAGGAATAAGCTCTAAGCTGGGTGTGGAGCAAAAAAATAAAACAGGGCTGGAGCGATAGCACAGCAAGTAGGGCGTTTGCCTTTCACGCAGCCAACCCGGGTTCAAGTCCCAGCATCCCATATGGGTCCCCCGAGCACCGCCAGGAGTAATTCCTGAGTGCAGAGCCAGGAGTAACTCCTGAGCATTGCCAGGTGTGACCCGAAAAGCACACAAAAAAAAGCCCCACAAAACAGTCATGCTTTTATTTTACTGTTATTTCAGCACCGCCCCCCCCCCAAAAAGAAATGCTCTTGGTTTTTGTCTCTGACAGATGCCGCTGTCTTCTCCCCCGTGTTGGCACTCTGACCTCACTCTCTCCCGATGAACTGCTTGCTTCCCCTTCATTGTTCTTGCCTCCCAGTGGGGAGATGACTTCCAGAATTGGACCTGTTCAGGATCTCTAGATGGTGCTATTAACAGAACTGGAATGCGGAATTGTTGCAGAGGGTCCAGGAGCCAGATTCTCTCTCGCTCTTTTTTTTTTTTTCCAGATTCTCTTTTTACTCTTTTACAAAATACTTGGTCAGAAACAGAGTTGAGAATTGACTCAGGTGGGAAGTAGTATTCTTAATAAATATCCTGGGTTCAGGAAAAATAAATATCCTATATTCTGCATATTTCCTATGTAGGCAAAGAAGCTCCTGGGACTAGATCTGTTTCTAGTTGATGAGAGACTAAAGTCTCATTTAATGACAAGGATACAAAAATAGGTCAAGATTTAATTCTGCTTGTGAAGGAGCCGGCATGTGGAGTCTTGGTGGCCCTAACAAAACACTGTTAACAATGTTACCATTGCCAAAAGGGTCTCTGTATCCTGTATCCTGCCCAGTGGCTGACTTCACAACCACTGACAGCCAAGAAGCATCTGTCTTCAGCCCGTCCACTTTGCTGTCCTGTTTTGTTTTCTTGTTTTGTGTTTTTTATCTTGTTTTAAACTGCATGTTTTATAAAATAAAAACAAAAATATTGTTGACGTCTCCATCTCAGACCTGCTAAGCGTGAAATTGTATGATTTCAGCCACCGTCCCATTTCTTAGCTTTCTACAAGAACTGGAAAAACAAAAACTTGTACATTCCCACCTAGAAACGCTGGCAAAACTCTTTGAGTTCAAAGAATACTGGAGTAATACGGTTATGGCGTTCCTGGACTGTACAAGTAATGCCACAAGGCCGGATTCTTCGAAGACACAGTTCTAGTTTCCCATCCACTATGTAAAAGGGGCGGCGCTGGGGCAGCCGACAAACTACAAGTCCCAGGAGCGCTTACGCCCTGCAGCTGTTGCCTTGATCCGTGCGCTGCCGAAATGCTTCCTGGGAGATGCAGTTTCCCGGTGACTGCGCCCGCGGCTTCTCGCTGGCTAGCCGCTCACCTTGCTCGCTGGCGCTCCATGGTCCCCCCGCGACAGGCAGGCGCGCGCAGCGGCCTCCATCCACCCGGCGCGGCGCTCGCCTTTGCTCTAGGCCACGCCTCCTCTTCAGCTGACCCCTGATGGTCACGTGTAGCTCCCCGCCACGCAAGTCTGGGTCCTTGTGCAGCCCACAGGGGTCCTCGCGGGCTCGGAGTCACTCCGAAGCTGCCTGTCCGCGCGCGAGTCTGGAGCGGCGGGTTCGGGGCGCTCTCCGATGTGGGGCTCGCGCCGCTGCGCTTCGGACCCCTAGTTGGGTTTCCCCTCGGGCTTCGGGGAACCGGGTCAGGCGGTCGCCGGGGCACCTCATTTCGGAAAAGCGCCGCAGCGCCCTGGAGGAGGCCGGACAGCCCCGCGGCACGGTCGCCGGGTGCGAGTGTGCGAGTGCGGCTGCCTGCCAGCGCCTGGGCCCCGGGAGCAGAGGTGGGACAGATAGATGCAGGGGGCGCCCGGGGTCGGAGCTGTGTTAGGGCGAGCAAGTGGGGGGTTGGGGGGAGGGCCGTAGGGGTCCGGAAATAGCTTAGGATTTAATATTTAACATAAGCGTTTTGGAATTCCAGACCGGAGGTCGGGGCGCAGTAGGCATCGGTGCTGGGTGCAAGTACGCGCCGCTTGGTGCTCGCCTTGCCGGCCGGCGTGCATGCTTTTGTGATTCAGTCCCTGGCACCATGCTGCTTCCTTTGTGCCCGTCCTGGCCGCCGCTGCCACACAGCCCTCGGAGCCAGGGGCCTCACCTGTCCACGTAGTTCCTGGGGTTGAGCCCCACATCCGCCAGCTGGCGCTCTCCTCCTTGCCCCAGGGCATATCCGGGTGCAGTGGAGGCCTCGAGCCAGGCTCACACTGAGCCTTTGTGACCAAGAGTGGGGTGGGTGTGGGGGACGGGGATCGGGGATGGAGATGGCCCATCACACCTCTGCTTTGTTCCCATCCAAACCAGGTGGAGCAACCCCTTTTAGCTGAAGATGAAAGGCTGGGGTTGGCTGGCCCTGCTTCTGGGGGCCCTGCTGGGGACCACCTGGGCTCGGAGGAGGAGCCAGGATCTGCACTGTGGAGGTAAACGCCTACCGAGTGAAAGGAAGGGGGTTGGGAGGAAATAGGGAGGAACAGACAGAACCGTGGGAGGCCGTGAGATTCATGACCTGAGAGAATGAATGGGAATTCCTGGGTTGATGCCCTTCTCCTTCCTCCCTCCCTCCCCTTCCGCCAGCTTGCCGGGCTCTGGTGGATGAAATAGAGTGGGAGATTGCCCAGGTGGATCCCAAGAAGACCATTCAGATGGGATCTTTCCGGATCAATCCAGATGGCAGCCAGTCAGTGGTGGAGGTAACTGTTACTGTTCCCACAAAGAAATGAACTCACTCTGACTTTGGGTGAGAACTCAAGAAAGAAGGAAGGGCCTGGGCTAGAAATTAAGAAAACTCTGACTTAGAGAAGTGCCTAAAAGATTGAACTGTTCCATTTGGAAAAAGCAAAGGTTTACCCCTAGCACTTGCTTCCCGGCTCCAAACCTTCATACCTTGTTGCTGCTGTAGAAATTGTTAGGGAGTAGGGAATTCTGATCAGCCCCATTTTCACATCCTTAATGGTGTTTCCACCATGGTAATAAGGTTTCTGTTCAAACATTAATTTGTGAATGAAATAGGCCTTATCCTTAATGAGGACACTTATTTTAGTTGAAAATAGAACACTTGGGCCAGAGAGATAGTACATGACATAGTTGCATGCAGCCAACCCCAGTTTGATCTGTACATGACTGGAGGCACTGGCCTTGCTTGTAGCCAATCCCAGTTTGATCTCTGGCACCATATAAATACCTGAACACCACCAAAAGCAAAAAAAAGAAAAAAATATAACACATGTATTTTACCGATAAACAGTGAAGAAAGTCATGTTGAGGCTATGAGGCTCGTGTTAAGCTCAAATAGCTGTCCTCAGAACCTCTGCTACCTTCCCGGTGCTCATGTTGAAGGCAGGTATTAATCTTAATCTTATTTTTAAACAGAGAAACAAAATTACTAACTTACAATGGTCAGAACTAAGGGACTTGGATGAACACATTCCTAGGGCTAATCATAGAGGTCTCTATAATTTGGAACTAATGAGAGCACCTCTTTTACTCTTTAGACTTGTAAACTAAGGTCATAAATTCGGAAGTAATCTGAAACCATCTTGTTTTTAAGATAGGGAGGACTTTTTACAGTAGTTTGCTTGAACTAGATTTGAAAGGAAAAGTAAGGATATAAATTACTAATGTACAGAGGTTGAAGACTGTGACCCAAGGCTGAGGACATTTCTAGGTGCCTTATGCCCGCTCAGAGGCCCACCTCACAGAGCTCCTAGAGGAGATATGTGACCGGATGAAGGAATATGGGGAACAGATTGACCTGTCCACCCACCGTAAGAACTACGTGCGTGTAGTGGGCCGCAATGGAGACTCCAGTGGACTGGACCTACAGGGCATTCGAATTGATTCTGACATCAGCGGCACCCTCAAGTTTGCGGTGAGCTACGGGAGTGGATGGCTGGTTCTCAGGAATGAGGGGTGCGTGGAGAGCCCAACTGGAAAGTTGGATAAACTCCTCTAGAGGTGGAGGCCAGAGGCCTCTTCTTGCTCCTTTCTTTCACTCATTTCTTTGGCTTGACAGTGTGAGAGCATTGTGGAAGAATATGAGGATGAACTCATTGAATTCTTCTCCCGAGAGTCTGACAATGTTAAAGATAAACTTTGTAGTAAGCGAACAGGTAAGGTACTCACAATCCATCTCCTGTCCTCTAGCCCACTGGGCTCAGTACCTAGTACTGTTCTTCTCCCACTAACTCCTCCAAAACACCCGTTTCAAATAGGGGGCCAGAGAGACAGAGCAGCTCCCCCAAGCACTGCCAGGAGTAATTCTTGAGTACAAAGCCAGGAGTAACCCCTGACCACTGCTGGGTGTGGCCCAACACCAGTAAAACCTTTTTTAAAAAAATTTTTTTAATTACCTTTTCTGGACCAGAGAGAACTCAAAGGGTGAACATGCTTGGCAGTGGAGACCCCAGATTTCGTCTCTGGCACTGAGATGACCCTTACCACTGCTGGTAGTGGCTTAAAAGCAAAAAAAAGATAGAGAACTTGGGTTTTTCTTTTGCACTCTTGTTAGCTTTCAGATGTGTGGCTTCTTCACCTGGGATAGATGGGAGAGGCTAGTGGTAACCTTTTATCATTTAAAAGTATATGTCCTTGGGGGCTGGAGCAATAGCACAGCTGGTAGGGTGTTTGCCTTGCACGCAGCCGACCCGGGTTCGACTCTCAGCATCCCATATGGTCCCCCGAGCACCACCAGGAATAATACCTGAGTGCTGAGTGCATGAGCCAGGAGTAACCTGTGCATCGCTGGGTGTGACCCAAAAAGCAAATATATGTGTTCTTGGGCCTGGAGCGATCGCACAGTGGGCAGGGTGTTTGCCTTGCACGCGGCCGACCCAGGTTTGATTCCCAGCATCCCATAGGGTCCCCCGAGCACCGCCAGGAGTAATTCTTGAGTGAAGAGCCAGGAGTAACCCCTGTGCATCGCTGGGTGTGACCCAAAAAGAAAAAAAAGTATATGTTCTTGGGCCTGAGCCGTAGTACAGCAGTTAAGGCTCTTTCCTTGCACACAACCAGCCCAGGTTCACTCCCTGGCATCCCATATAGTGAGCCTGCCAGGAGTGATTCTTGAATCTTTTTTGATGATGCTGGGATCAAACCTAAGGGATCACATGCAAAGCAAGCACTCTACCACTGAGTTCCAACCGTAGCCCTGGATCTGGGTATTTTTCTTTTTTTTGCGGGGGGCCTCCTGAAGAATATCCGGAGGGCCAAAGATGTCACTCCTGGAAATACTAAATCAACCCAGTGAGAAGTTTCATGCTAGGGGCCAGAGAGGTAGTACAGTGAGTAAGGCGCTTGCCTTGCATGCAGCCAACCCGGGTTCGGTCCCCAGCATCCCATATAGTTACCTGAACAATTCCTGAGTGTACAGCCAGGAGTTACCCCTGCGCACTGCCAGGTATGGCCCCCCAAAAAAGAAGATTCATGTTATTCATTCATAGCCCAAGGATGAGGCAGTACTCAGGACTAGCAGGACTACCCCAAGCAGTGCTTGGGGGCCTTCAGGGCTGCATTCTGGGATAAACTGGGGTCCAAAGAATGCAAATGAGGGGCTAGACCAAAGCACAGCGAGTAGGGTGTTTTCCTTGCATGTGACCAACCCGGGTTCGATTCCCAGCATCCCATATGGTCCCCGAGCACCACCAAGAGTGATTCCTGAGTGCAGAACCAGGAGTAACCCCTGAGCATTGCTGGGTGTGAGCCAAAAAAAAATCTTTAGAGGGGCCACCCCGATAGGCGCAGGCTAGCAAGGCCACACCCAGGGTGCTTAGGGGACCATGCAATACAGGGATCAGACCTCTGCTAGCTGGTGCACTACCACTTCCACTATCTCCCCGGCTCTTTATAATGGTATGTATCATTCTGAGTGGTGTTTTCCTCCAAATTATTTTGTGCTGTTTACAGATCTATGTGACCACACCCTGCACGACTCACATGATGAGCTCTGATCACTGCAGCAGCCCAGATTGGCAGTTGATGGATCACCCCAGGAGAGGAAGAAGATGGCAATGCCTTTTATATTATGTTTTTATTGAAATGAACTGGAAAAAAAAAAGAAACCAAAAGTACAAACCGTGTTGTCTTTTCATCCCAGAATCAATGTTTACATTTGGCTAGAAACTAGTGGATTGCAGTCAGGAGAGAAGAGGCCTGGTGGTGCTTTGGGATTGGGAATATTGGCCAGGATGTTGCTCAGTGGCAGTGCCCATGCTTCACATGGATGAGGCACTCGGTAGGATCCCTGGGCACAGAGACACAGAACAGACAAGGGGAAAATGAATGTGATCAACTTGGCTGAAAATTGGGGTTTTATCAAATAGGGACAGATGAAGTAAAGTATGTTATTCAAAGGCTTTGCTTTCTTGGTCAACTTTTATATTTGATGTCAATTAACAACACTAAAGTGTATTCTTATCTCTGTCATGAGCCTTGGCTATCAACTATAAAACTAGTTTCACTATATTTAGAGATTCTGGTTTTTTTGTTATTGTTGTTGGTTTCTGGGGTGCTACACCCAGCTGTACTTAATGCTTACTCCTGGCTCTATGCCCACTTATCATTCCTGGCAGGGCTCTGGGTACTATTTGGGGTGCCAGGAATCCAACCCAGCTTGACTGCAAGGCAAGTGCCCTACCCGCTGCACTATCTCTCTGGCCCCAATGCGGAGATTCTGTACTGGGACATGGGAATGAAAATGAAGGGTGAGAAGGAGTATAGTAGGTAAGGCACTTGCATGTGGACAACTGGATTTGATCCCTAGCACCCCATATATTCCCCTGGGCCTTACCAGGAATGAACCCTAAGCACTGTGGGTGTGGCCCAAAACCAAAAGACTAAAACCCAACCCAAAAGTCTGTCTTTGATTTAAGTTATTTAAGCTATACCCTGATCAGGGCAGAACAATAATACAGTGGTTAGGGTGTTTGCCTTGAACCCAGCTGACCAGGGTTCAATCCCCAGCTTCCCATATGGTTCCCAGCAGTAATTCCTGAGTGCAGAGCCAGAAGGGAACCAATGTGAATCAACAAGCCAAAAAATACCAAAAACTCTGTTCCTGAGATGTGGCTGCTGGAATGCCTCAAGGAGAGAACACCAGGAACATTTCCAACACTTATTTGTTTTGGGCACACACCCGGAGGTGCTCAGGAGCTACTCCTGGCTCTGTGCTAGGGGTCACTCCTGGTGGTATTCAGCGGACCATGCCATATCAAATATTGAACCCAGCCTGTTAAGCCATCTCTGATGAGCATTTCAAAGACATTTTAAGTTAAGTGTGGAATCTAAAGGGACTGTGGAGGTCATCTAATTCAAGTTTGCAGTCTTACAGATGAAGAAACAGGCCCAGAGATACAATGGGTCCTAAAGTTCTGGATTCGGTGGCAAAATTGGATCTCTAAGCTTGATGATTATTCTCATATCAATATGGTTTAGCTATAAAACAGCTTTTAATTAGTCCCCCTCACTCACACACACACACACACACACATACTCCTTACTACCTTTCTGTAAATCTAGCTAACAAAATGAATGTGTCCATGAGCCAGAGAGAGTAAAGTGGATAGGGCACTAGCCTTGCATGCAGCCAACTCGAGTTCAGTTCCTAGCACCCTATATGGTCTCCTGAGCACTACCAGGAATGATCCCTGAACCTAGAGCAGGGATTAAGATCTGAGCACAACCGGGTGTGGGGGGAAAAAAAAGTTGTCCAAGCCAGATTTCTTGTACCACAAATCTCTATAAAATCTAATATATGAACTAGCTTAGAACCAACATCTGATACTAGTTGTCAAGAAGACAGTCTGGAATTAATTCCTTCTCCCCGTTAATACTGTATAGGGACCTCAGTGCGCTCGCCTTTGCATGCCGCTGACTCAGGTTTGATCCCAGGTGTCACATGGTCCCCTGAGCACCACCAGGAGTGGCTCCTGAGTACAGAGCCAGGAGTAATGTCTAAGCATCCACCTGGTGTGGTCCCAAAACAAAACAAAAAAATGTTGGATTGTGTAAGTTCCCAAAATAAATGAGTAGCAGCGGTGTGGTCTCTTGCCTGCCACGTGTGTGCGGAGGCTTGGAGTCGCTTCCCCACCCTGGTCTGCAGCCACCACCAACAGACCCCCGAAGGAGGAAACGGCAGCCAGACTGGTTGGTGATCAGTTGCCGTTTATTCCATTCTCCCCACATGCCTGTTTTAGTGTCACTAAGCGCCCCTGGAATTCAGTTTCCACTGCCCCTCATTCCCATCTCCTCCTGTCCCCTGTGCTAGTTTCTCTGCGCTCATCTCGCTGCCTTGGTCCAGGGTCCAACCTTCAAGCACTGGGGGTAGAAAGTACCCCTAAGTGAGGTAGCACAGTCCAACATATGAAAGCCCTTCCTTCTGAGGGAAGCTCTTCTAAGACAAGAAAGATCTCCTGCGGCTAGGAGATCCACTCAAGGGCGAAATACCATCTAGGGGTATGTTTCTCCTTTCCTTAGTCCAACAACCATTTAAACATTCATCTTAATTATACTTCTTTATATTATTAAGTTATTTTGTATGGACACTGTAAGAGATACGTTCACCTTGTAGAGTGGCTCTCCTGAAAACATCTCTCTATAGACCCCAGACTACAATGCTCAGGCCAGATTAGTCTTTCTTAACCCTAGCAGGGTCCTAATCCAGTTGTTACTCTTTGGATCATGACAGAATCTGCCCATGACCGTTCTCTTATAGTTAAGTATTATAGCACTTGGTCTGGCCCGTTTCGATGCCAGGGGAGCTCACAGCTTGCCCTGCCTGGGTCCACCCAGTCCCTCTTTGGGACCTTGCTTTTGGGAGTGCTGGGAACTAAGGGCAACTGAGATTTAAGATGAGAAGACAGATGTCCAGGAGTCGGTTAATAATTTTATATTTTATTATTATTAATTTTTAAGCTATACGGTGCAGATTAACTTAAAATTACTCTTAACTAGAATAGCTATAATTTTACAATTGACTAAAAACGTTTATAGGCTGTTAGGCAGAAAATTATGGCACATCGATGAATCTTCTGGAAAATAAGACTATACTTTCATGGGAAATTTGTCATTATGTGAAGAACTAGAAAAAATATTATTTATTAAATTCTAAATTAAGAATAATAATCACTTTATTAAGTGATCATTAAAGGACATTAAAGGACATAATTAGAGGGAAAAATTAATACTTTAGTTTTGAACTTGTTAAAAATCATATTCCCGATAGTTGGAAATGATCACTCTGGACAAAAATTGAGTGCTGAAAGGAAGTAAAGTGATATGCATGTTACCCTTTCAGCAACAATACTGCAAACCACAGTGCCTAAAAGGAAAATGAGAGAGAGAGAGAGAGACAGGGAGAGACAGAGACAGAGAATAGAAGGTAGCAGGAGTAGAGGGTGCTGGTGGATGGAGACATTAGTGGTGGGAAATGCATACTGGTGAAGGAATAGGTGTCCATGTTGTCTTCCAAAAAGGCTCGACTAGAGGGTCCCTTTCCCCCACATCCTTGCCAACACTAGCTGTTGTTCTTTCTGATGAGTGCCAGTCTCTGTGATATGAGGTGACATCTCACTGTTGTTTTGCTTTGCATTTCCCTGATAGTTATATAGAGCATATATTTTTATATGCATTCTATTTGTACTTCTTTGAGGAAGTTCTTGTTCATCTCTTCTCAATTTTTGATGGGGCAACGCTCTATTTCGTGTCAAGGTCATATGTGTAGATTTTGGAAAGTTATTTAAAACTACTGCTATACAAAGTGTCAGAGGAGGTTGAGAACACAGTCTCCCAACTCCAGTCTCACTCTTCTCCCCACTATGTCAAAGAAACAGACCAGATAGCACAGCGGGTAGGGCGTTTGCCTTGTACGCAGCCAACATGGCCAACCCGAGTTCGATTCCTCCGCCCCTCTCAGAGAGCCCGGCAAGCTACCGAGAGTATCTCGCCCGCACAGCAGAGCCTGGCAAAGCTACCCATGACATATTCAATTTGCCAAACACAGTAACAACAATTCTCACGATGGAGATATTACTGGGCCCGCTCGATCAAATCGATGAACAACGGGAGGACCGTGACCATGACCGTGACTTAGTAGAGAAGAAGAACATTTCCAAGAACCTTCAAACCATACCAAGGAGTCCTTTTCTTCTCATTTCATGACTGAAAAGCTATTGAATGCAGTTCTTAAAGACAGTATGTTAGGAAACAGTAATACAATACCAACATGTAAAAGAATAGAACTGATTTCTTACTCTGCAACATTTTTCAATATTTTTCTGAAACCCTGGCTCAATTTTTCTCAATTTTTTGTCATTATTATTGCTCAAAAGATGAATTTGTATCTTAAAATTTTGCATTCAAATTAAAATCCATATATTCCATAAAGGCAAGCTGCCCTCAATTATATTTTTTGGGGGGGCCATACCTGGGGATATAGATGCTACTCCTGACTCAGGGCTGGCAGGTTTCTCTGAGAGGGAACCAAGCATAGAAACTGGGGCTTGGAGTGAGAGAGAGAGTACAATGGATAGCTTGCCTTGCAGTGACCGACCTGGGTTCAATCCCCACATCCGATCTGATTCTCCAAGCTTCCAGACATAATTTGTGAGTGCAGAGCCAGAAGAAAGCCCTAAGATTTTTTGGGTGTGACCCAAAAAACAAACAATAAATCATATTAGTGCTCTTGCATTCAAAGCACCAGGTCCAGTCCACTGAGATCCTCAACTGAATTTTCAATTTCATTCCTCTCCAAGACAGCTGTTCTTTAAAATAAATAAAAACTAAGGGAGCTATCAAATCCTATTTCTCCCAAATTGACACCATCCATAGAATCAGTGAACATTTATTGTGCCTTCTGTAGAGTTGGTGTAAGTCTTACAGTACTAGGAATATAAGCTTGTAGCTCTGTCTTCAAAGAATTCATGATCCAATGGTGATAAATACAAGCACATAGTTAAAATGTGCTAATATATTTTATATTTTAGAGGCTGAAATCAAAGCTTTTCTGTTTGGAGCGAAGTCCAACAAATTCCATACTGCAAGCCAGATTTCACTTGTCTCCTGTTTTCA